CCTGGGTCAGTGCTGCACATTGTACAGTACTGACGTTCAGCGTCTCCACAAACTTTCCCCATAGAGATGCATCGAGTCAGATGCATCTGTATGATGAGATGCTGAATAGTGCAGAAAAAAGTTTTGCCACGCCTGCATGATAGCCTCACAATGCTTTGCTGTGGACCAATATTGGAGACTGGGTGGAGTCATCTGCAACTAGGCCTGCGCTGAAAAAATGTTAATATCTTTTTAACCAGAGGTAAGGTGGGTAGGGAAAGGGATTTAAGGGTCTAAACAACTATTTAGACCTATAGTGTCAGGAATACACAATTGTATTCCTGACACTATAGTGCTCCTTTAAAGTCCAATTTACAGAGCAGGAGATAAAAACTTCCAAAGTAAGTTAATATCGGACTGAAAATGAAACCATTTTTTCATGTAGGCTGTCATTCACTGCCAAGGTAAAGTGGTTAGGGCTGCATAAACAGAAACAAAGGTGATTTGATTTCCAAGTGACAGAGAACTGAGCAATGAGACTGCAAAGGCATGATCTATATACCAAAACTGCTTCACTAAACTAAAAGGTGTGTTGATGCCTATAGCATCCCTTTAAAGGAACACTATAGCGTTAATAATACAAATATGTATTCCTAACGCTATAGAGCCTGTGTCACCATTTATTTGCTTACCTTAATCTAGCCCCGGGCTCCCTCGGCACTGGTGACCTCTCCTCCTCCATTGATGTCAGCTCCCAAGTGGAGCCGAATGCGCAACCAGAGGTGCTCGCACATTCAAAACCGCCCATAGGTTTGAGGACGTCCAGCGTCAAATAAGTGCTATTTACTTCGTGCAAAGCGCAGAAGCGGCCTCTAGTGGTTGTCAGGGAGGCAGCCACTAGAGGCTGGATTAACCCTGCAGTGTAAACATAGCAGTGTTTTAAAACTAGGGAGACCTGGCACCCAGACCACTTCATTGAGCTGTAGTGCCTATAGTGGTCCTTTAAGCAACGTACACTGCAAGACACACAAATTGAGGTCATCCTCTCATACAGAAAGCGAAAGCAATGTCAACACAATATCCCAGACACAAGTGCCATACACTTGCATTAATTTTGGATAATGGTAATACAGTGTATTGCAATGCAATGGATTTATGAGCTTTACTTAAAACCAGCACTGTGAACATGCTAACCACCTGCACAGCCCATTATGTGTACTACAATTCCCATGATGTTCAGCCAACCAAGTGACTAAGTATCTGTGGGAATGACAGTCCACAAGATCTGTCAACGGCTGCCTGTCATTGTCCATTTACCTTCCCCTAGTGAGAGCCTGAGCAGTGTCCCTGTGACATTGCTTCCTGTTTATAATAGGCTCCCTGCTCAGGGTCAGACACCTGCATGGCAGGCTGGACTCCTCTGACAGGTTGGTGGAGCTGCACCCTGCCACCCACAGGGGGCGTGCCACTCTCTCTGACACTCACTGCCCCCACAAATAAACACCTGTCATGTATCTCTACTGACCTCACCTGGGGGGCGTGGGGGGCCAGCCACAGCAGCTTTAAATGGAGACAGCTGTGTCTCAGTGCCGAGAGCTGCGCACACACGCAGCCATGTTGGTACTCCAGTAACGCTCAGTGAGTGCTGCACACATTCCAGAACCAACACCGGTGTCAGCGTCAAGTCACCCACTTCCGGGAGGTGTGAGCTAGACGCCGGAAGTGGGGTCTAGAGAAGCCGTACCACAGAGATGTGGAAGGATAGAGCGGCTCTCTGTGAACATTCTGCTCTCACAGTTTCCACTGTCTGGAATTGAGGTTCTTACTCCCTTGGCAGTGGCTTGCAGTTCCATGTTGTATTAAGAGTAATAAATGATAACAACAACAAAAAAAGTGCTGTTACACAGATCTAGGTCACTAACCAGTGTCAGGGTTATAAACAAAAAGCAAGGGACAGGAAAACCTCAGCACTGCAAATGATGTGAACTACTCCTATAATGCTGTTACAGCTATTATGCTGGCAGAGCATCAGGGGGGATGTAGTCCACAATATGTGGAGTGCCAAAGCCTCCCTACCTGTGTACTAGTAAAGTGTGATTTGTAGAGGATTTAAAACAGACCTCTCTAGCTATGCATAGGTTAGTGTTTTCCCTCAGTCCTGGTCACTGACAGGACCGGCCACCCACCTGGTGTAAGTAGGAATATGGGACAGTGCACTTTTTATAGCATTTAAAGTGGCACTGTAAATGAATTAACAAAGACCCCCAATGGTGACATTGCCACGGTTGAGGGGCAGGTAAATTACTTACCTGAGCCTGTCCCTCGTAGAGACCATCTTCCTCAGGAGCCAACGTCACTACGAGAGTACAGCATTGCGGTCTATGGGGGAGACCACAGGATCCTCCATTGGCACAGCCAATTCCTTGCTGTCGTGATTGACTCTTCGACTCCGCCCTGAATCTAAGAAAGGCAGACGGAGGAGAAATACAGAGACAAAGTAGTCCCTACTTTATCTCTGTATATCTCCTGACTGAGTTGGAATTTCACTTTAAAGCGTCACTGTCACCCCCTCCTTAAAAAATGGTATTTCGTAAAGATAGAATTTTTATACCATAGTAAATTATACTGTATTTTTATTTTATTGATTGTATTTTAATTTGATTTAATCTTCTAGCCCAGCGGTTTTCCAAACTGTGTGCCACAGGGCCTATGATTATAGCACTGGGTAAACATTACTGCTCAACAGGGACCGCGACCGGGCCCCTATAATGTCGCCCGGCTAGGAAGCCTGTCACTTCCTCCCAGCATTCTGCAGGGAGACAGTGCGGGAGAGAGAGGAGGCAGCCGCAGCATGAGGGAGGAGGAGCACGAAGAGCTCAAGACCCCTTCACTCCCCCCAGCAGCAGGACTAGGACTCCAAGCCACCCTCCTGGACATACAAGGTAAGCTAACAGGAGGGTGGCTGGAGATATAAAAAATAAAATCACTTGTGTGTGTATATATATATATATATATATATATATATATATATGTCAGTGTGCTTCTGTGTCTATGTGTGTGCACACAGCTGTGTATGTGTTTTTATGTCAGTGTCTGTATCTGTGTCCTATATCAATGTTTGTGTGTGTCAGGGTGCATGTGTCAGTGTGTATGTGTGTGTGTAGGTGTCTATATGAATTTGTGTGTATGTGTTAGTGTAATTTTATGCATCTGTATGTTAATATGCATGAATATCTGTGGAAGTATGCATGTATGTTTGTAGTAGTGTAGGTGCATACATCCAAGCAGCCAAACACCAGCACAACATACTAGCACACTCTTGCAATCTAACACAAATATTACTTTCAAACTCACCCCTGCATTCAAACTAAAAAAAAATATACAAACAAACCCCTTACTCAAACACAAATACTTCACACGAATGTACATCCACATTTAAGAGTTACAATTACATTCAGACACACTCATAGTTCCTTTTTCAATGTTAAAAAACATTTATTTTTTTTTAGATTAAAGCAAAGGCATACCTATGTCTACTTCATGGAATGAAGTAGCATTTCCTTGTAATTCATGTTATAGTAATATTAGGACAAAGCAACAGGCGCCTTTGGTTAGGATGAGCACACTTCAAGGTTTTGAAAACAGCAGTTGAAAAATTACTCCAACCACCATGACCACATCTGCTCTTAGCGTTTATGCTTTTAAAGCTGCACATCCAGAGATATTTGCTCTTTTGTACCACGTTTTAGTTGCATAACCAGCACATCATGTGACTTAGGCAGCCTGGATCTCTGTTCTGGGCTGCCTAATGTGAATTATGTGTGTAAAATACATCTGTTGTCATTGCGAACACTGTGCATTCCCTCCAGTCATTATTACTTAAAGCAGCACTGTCACGCTGTACTTACATTTCCTCAATCGCTTCCTCTTCTCTTTCCTACTTTGTCTTTCTTGTTTTTTGATTTTTCATCTATTCTAACTAAAAAGAAGTGTCAAACTAGTATCTAACCAGTTACGGTTGCAGGGAATTGGCTCTGTTTATGAAATATCCCTTGGTATCCTCCATAGACCTCAATGAACATGGGCAAAAGTACAGAAGTGATGTCCGCACCAGGAGGTGAAGATGACCCGCCGAGGGAAAGGTTGAGATAAGTAGAACTCACCTTTCCCTACCACTGGACCCCAGCATCTATGTCATCAAAATCTGCAAAGCCCCAGGCAGTGAGAAGGCTGCTTTAATTCATATATTTATTTATTTTTTAAATCGCTGGGATGTTGAAACGGTACAATCAAATGCTTTTCTATGAGAAACATTTGATTAAACCTTCAGAGGACAGCGGTAATGTCAGACAGAGCCTGAAACGAAGATCCCAGAGCTTCACTTGGCGTTGGATTCCAGGTAAGTTTATGGCTTTGTTTTGTAGGTTTCAAAAAGAAGTCACCTAAATAGTAATGCCAATAGGCCATGCTAAATTAAAAAAAAAAAAATAATATTAAAAAAAAATAATAATTAAAAAAAAAGGTTCCAGAAACCCTTTAACGGTAATAAAGTCTGAAGGCAGGGCTAGCTACCTCCCCTTTAATATTTGTGTCACTGGGGAACAATTGTTGTGCTCATTCTTATTCACAAAGTTTCCATTTTTCACCACACCTGAACATTCCATCCTCCTAGCTACAGGGATATTTGATAGAACGACGACTCATGTCTGTCACATGATCTCAGAAAGTCACGTGACTTGGTCTCAGCGTGGAAAGACTGTTTCCGGTGTAAAGAGAGCTGCTTATTTCCTGTTAATGGCGGCGCTGTAGTGGTGTGCACATGAACTGAAGGGCAGTGGTGTGACAGCTGCGTGACATCTTGTTTGTAAATAAGTGCTCAGCGCTGTCGGAGAGTGGCATCCCTCTCTTCTTACTAGGCTACTGAGCAAAAAAAAAAAATGTTTTAAGTCTCTGGTAAAAGTATAGGCTGAGCTCTTTATTATAATTTCAGAGGGGTTTTCAACCACAGATAACATTTCGCCATGGTCCATTTAAGTAAGTAATATATACATTGTTATGCGTTGACCCTATAATATATATATATATATTAAAAAAAAAAGAAGATATAGCTAGTAATGAGTGCATATTTTCCCTGCTGAAGGATTGTGGTGCAATTCCTCTAATGCTCAGCTGGGTATTGTTGCTGGGTTTCATGGTAAAGGCAGTTGTTTAAAAGCTAGCCATCGCTGCCATGTTGGGTAATTTCATACCCACTCTCCTGGTGCAGAATGTATTCAGTGGCGTGTTAGTCTAGGAATTACACGAGCACCTTCATACACAGTTAATAGCCAATTTGGCAAAGCAACATTGTCAGTTGATTGTGTCTTCTTTGCAAATGACTATGTAAATACATAGTGCGTTCTTGGGTGCTAGTTTATTGTGGACCATTTTAAGTTGTGCTGCAAAGTGTTTCCCACTATTATGTATCTTTACAAAGGGAAACAAATTCTGCGAGCAAAGTCAGAAGATAATGCAAAACTTGCCTGTGTAGTCTCTCAGTGCTTTATTTTTAAACATCTGTGTGCCGTTTTTTTGTTTTTTTTTTGTAATTGGAGTGTTTCTTTTCTCTACTTTTTTGCAAAGACAATAGCAAACTAAGTGTTGGTTGTAGTTAGTTATCTTTTAAATATATCATGATTTCTATGGGGGAAGGGGAGTATATCTACATGTATGGCATTGCTAGAATAAATACTAAGTGTGCATGGTTGGGCAGTGAAATTTCTCCATAAATGGTTTAAGGGTCTATGGATGTGCCAGAGGCATGATGGAGCAAGAATGCAGCAGTGCAATGGCGGTAACTGAGTTTTTTTATTTTTTTATTTTAAACTTCACCTACTAATAACATATGAGGTTATGGAAGACATTAGTTGGCACAAGAAGTTACGTTAATTTTTCATGCATGAAACTTCTCGTAATTGTCTTGCTGTAGTCAGTACAATTTCCAGTTGATTTTTATGAGCTTTGTCACAAATCAAGTGAACCCTGATGTTGTTTAGAGATATGTAAACACTCACTTTGAAATTAATGATCTTAATAGGATTGACCTAGTGGTTTTGGCCACCTCCTGGTCTCCCTAGATAATAGAGTACATCCTGCAATTTTTTTAATAAGTGACATTCAGAGGTGAGGATGTGGAATGTATTCCTGTTGTCTCTGAAAAAAATATTTTCAACCACTGCTTTATTATTGCACAGTTCTCAAATGTCAATATTTATATAAATCTGGTAGGATTTATATATGCCATCATTGAATGCTCACGTTATTAATTTTTATTTTTTTCTTCTAGCATCTCAGCTTTTGAAACGATACCATGGTGGGCATGTTGTAATCAGATTGGCACTTGGTGGCTGTACAAATAGACCTTTCTACCGCATTGTTGCTGCACACAACAAGCGAGCACGGGACGGCAAACATTTAGAACAACTTGGCACTTACGATCCATTGCCCAACATCTACAATGAAAAACTTGTAAGCTTGAATATAGAGAAAATCAAATACTGGATTGGCTGTGGAGCTCATACTACAAAGCCAGTTGCAAAGTTGTTAGGTAATTAATGATTAACTTTTCCTTTGTGCTTTTCTGTAACTTCTTTTTGTTTACAACAACCTGGAATCTGAATATATAGGGGCAGTCTAAACTTTACAGCTCAGGGATGATGGTTCAGATGCAAAGAGGGTATGGGTACCATCTCATGTTTTGTTTTGTTTTTTTTTCTTTATCAAACCAGTCTGATTACAAACAATGGGCTTTCCCTGGCATCGTAACACACTCACTCTCTAGGTTTATTAATGTGCAATTTATATTTCTGCCTTACTAGCGTCAATTCCATCTAACCTGGATGGCAACAATTGACTGAGAGCGTTCCCCTGCTTTATTAAATGTTTTTTCTCTGCATTTGTGAACTTAAATCTGTGTAATATATAAATGTTCTATGATGTATCCTTGACTGTAAATGAACAACGAAAAGTTTGGCACTGTCAATGGTGCAGCCTTTGAATTTTTCTCAAGACAGATGATTCCTCTGTAGATGATTTTTCACATGCACAGTGAATTGCCTTAGGCATCTATTGCACATCTTGGCAGAAGACTTCTTGTGTTATCTGTATTAATGTTCAAATCCAGTTATGCAGTTCATATTTTTTTTCCACTACTATATTCTGTAATTTGAAATATCATGTATTTGAGTAACCACTATCTTTATTTAAAGGACTACTCCACACCCATAAAGCACTTCAGCTTTCTAAAGTGCTTTATGGGTATGGAGTATCATATTTCAAAAGCACTTTCGAAAAGTGCTGATTTCTATGAGAAATCAGAACTCTTATAATTAAACACCCCCGTCCTGCTTCCATTGGGTCCTCTAAGTTAATAGAAGTGACAGACAAATTCTACTTGAGCGCGCCTGCCTCCCCTAAGCATACCTCAGATCAGAACTCATGCACAAGGGGATAAATTTATGGTTTCCCAATGAGAAACATCTGATAGGCTATTTCCCTGTGAAGAAACTTTTAGTCTCTTTTGGGGGAAAATGGGAATCTCAAGAACTGCATGTTTCCAAGCAATTGTAATATATACCCCCAAATAATACATGCATCTATTCAGTAGATCTATATCTAGTATAAACAGATTCTAAATTCTTCAGACTAACTCTTCTAGACTCTTTAGTCCCCCTCCCCCTTTCTTTACATGCATCCTCATAATCTCAATAATTTCTTTGCAGGTATTGCTGGCTTTTTTCCTTTGCATCCAATGACCGTTACATATGCTGAACGATTAAGAAAGGAAAAAGAACTAAAGTCATCTTCGACAGCTGAAGCAGTGAAAGATTCTCATGAAGAGCAATTGGCTTGAGACACCAGCAATAATGCACCCAGACTGTTTCTAGGCTGGATATAATATCCATGTGCCTGATGCCTATGTGTAAATGTTTTATAGAAAATTAAAATATTATTTGCATGATTGAAGCAAGTTCATTATTAAATACAGTGGACCCAGTCACACCAGATTATAGATATGTTGCAACAGGTAAAGTCCTCTGAAAAGAAAAGCACCACAATTATATGGCTAAGTATCTTCACAGTCAGCAGATATTCACTTATGTAATGTTAAGGATATTTACAGTCACAATATCATATATAGTTATGTAAGAATGCCTTGTGCCGCCACTTAGCAGCAGTTAATTTATTGGATAATCATAAAGAAAATTATTGCACAGAAGTGTGCAAAGCCAATCACAATGCTTTCTCATAGGGAAGCATTGGATTGGCTGAACTTTTTAAGGAGGCAGAGCCAACACAAGCCAAACACAGCCCTGGCCAATCAGCATCTCCTCATAGAGATACATTGAATCAATGTATCTCTATGAGGAAAGTTCAATTCTCCATGCAGAGGGTGGAGACACTGAATGGCTGTGCTGTTCCAGGAAGCCCCTCTATTAGCCATATGAGAAGTGGGCAGTGAAGTTCACTAGGTTGTAATATAAACACTGCATTTTCTCTGAAAAGACAGTGTTTACTGCAAAAAAAACAAAAAACTGTAGAGACAGTTTCTACTCTCCATAAACTTTTAGCTCCAGAGAAGGATATGCTCAGTGCAGTGGCAGATCCAGGGGGGAGCAACGGGGAAATTACCCCCCCCTCCCCCACCCCCCCCCCCGAGAAACCCGCCAATCTCCCTCTCCCCTGCCAGCACATGCAGGTGCCAGCCCTGCAATGTGCGCACATTGCTGACAGCCGGCGGGGGGAGGGAGGACCCGGGAGCTCAGCCTGCAGCTCCTCCGGGTCCTCCTCTAGCGAGATTTGGAGCGTTACCACGGCAACGCTCCAAATCTCGCGAGAGTGAACTCTAGCCCGGGAGCGCGGGCTAGAGTTCACTCTCCCCACTGGGACCACCAGGGAATCCCCACCGGACCACCAGGGATCGAAATATGTCCCCCCTCCTCCTCAATAAAGGTATGAAGGGAGGGGGGACATAGAATATTTATTTTAATTAAATAAAAAATAAATACATATAAAAACAAAAAAAAGCCCCCCCTACCCTTATCACACACTCTATACACATACACCCCCATACACACACACACTGCCCCCCAATACACACACGCACACACACTGCCCCCTCAGCTACACACACTGCCCCTAAGCACACACTGCCCCCCCCCCCTACACTACACACCTTTACATACACACACACATACTGCCCCCCATACACACACTCTACACACACGCACTGCCCCCATATACACACATTGCCCACACTCACAGATACACTGCAACTGTTACACACACATACTGTCCCACACATACACTGCATCCCTGACTTACACTGCCGCCCTCACTCACATACTACAACCTTCACACACACACTGTCCCCCTCACACACACACATACTGCACCCCTTACACATTGCACCACTCACACACACCACTGCTCCTATGCCCTACTACAGCCCCATTTCCCAGCAGACCTCAGGTAAGTTGTCAAACTGTTTTTAAACGGTTTGACTACTTACTCTGCGAGGGGGTCCCTGCACTATTGACACCATAACCACTACACTGAGCTGTAGTGGTTATTGTGTCTGGATTATTTCTTTAAATAATCTACAAGTGCCCCTCCCGAGATCAGGCTTTGGATCCGCCACTGGCTCAGTGTAAGCAAAGTACACTGTACAATGGTTTTGGAGAAAGTAATTACATACAGTTGATGGAAGAAAATTCTGTACAGTATGTATTAAAAGAACAAAAACATAATCGTGCAATACAGTTAGACAATACATGCAGATAATATTAGCAATGTCAATGGAACACTTACACTTTCTAGAGCCAATATAGTGCTTTTTCTGTAGGCATAGACAGTATAATCCCCGTCTAGGGATGCAATGGTGAAATCCAGGATTCTTGGTCCTGGTAGGAGTATATACTGGGCCATATAAACCGAGAACTCCAATGGTATAATACAGTAGGTGAAATGGGAAATATGCTACTTACAATACCCAGAGCATAGACCTGCTATAGTGTAATCAGGACTGGGTGGAATAATCCCCACCTATGGATTTACTGGATGTCCAGGGAGCCAACATAAAAATGAAATTAATTTCCAAGGATTGGATATTTAAAATTTAAAAAGTACTTTATTTAACTATATATAGTTAATGAAGTGGTCTGGGTGCCAGGTCCAGCTAGGTTTAACCCTTTTTTCTATAAACATAGCAGTTTCTGAGAAACTGCTATGTTTATAAATGGGTTAATCCAGCCTCTAGTGGCTGTTTCATTGACAGCCGCTAGAGGGCTTCCACGCTTCTCACTGTGATATATATATAAAAAGGGGATAAAATTAGATAAAAAGTACAAATCAAAATGGAATAGAGTAGTCTCTGGTTTCAGGTCCTCACTTTACACGTTTCACCGTGGCTTTCGCAAAAGTGAATGACTCCTAAGTCCAAATATCGGCTTTTATAGGTGATCTTCTATCAGTGAATTCCTGGTGGCATTCATCTACATCATCAACAGGATCCAATGTATACAATCATTGTGTCATTTCCTGTGTGACCTAGACCGAACACATGAATTCACAGCCTATATAAGCCGATTGTTGATTGTACAAATTTTTTTTCCATCCACTGTATGTAATTATATACTTTCTTCATTACTTGGGATGTGCATGGGCAAAATATTTGGTTCGGAAATTCGGGTAAGTAAAAAAATTTGTCCACTTCGGTAATTCGGACCCTAAACCCTAACCCACTTCCGCAATTCGGCACGTCAGAAATTCTGCAATTTGAACTGTACATTCGGAGGAAACTAATTGCACATGTCTATTCATTACCTTTTTTTACTATACTGTTCACTATAGTTACAGCACAGACAGAGCTGGATTTACAATTAGGCAGAGTAGACACATGTCGGCAGTGCAGGTGCCAACTCTTCCAGTTAAAAGCCAGCCCACCAGCTGCCCGCAGTACCTGAATCAAAGCTGGAGTCTGGGCAGGTATCACAGTGATAAGTCTCAAGGAGCTGTGATTTGTGCACAGCCGGCCTGTTCTGACTTATCACAGTGATCTCAGATCCTAGAAGACGAAATGTGGAGAGGAGAATTTATGCAAGTCAGGTACACACACATACACACTGAGACACACACGAACAGACGGGTTATTAGCTAAAATGAGAATTGCTTGGTATTCAATTTAAAATTTAAGGCCAAGGCAGCCAAACTAAAAACTTAGGAAATCTTTCTAATTTGGCTATTTTTTCTTAAATGTGAAATAAATTGAATTCCTGACAATACTCAGAAAACAACATCGTATGAGCGTTTGCGCTCATTTTATAAATTTGGCACTGAGCACAGAACAACATTGAGGCACATATTATTGTTTATTTCTAAAAGAACACTCCACTGTTCAAACAAAAATGTAAAGTACGATTTAGTAGATATATTCTAAATGAAAACATGCATGCATTTTATTATGATTTTTTTCATTGGGGATACATATAAATATAAAAACAGCTTATAAAAGCTGTAGTTCTGTTGTCTGCTGCTTTTGCAATCCCTCCCCTTCTAACTTTCTGTCCAATCACAGATTTACCAAAGCAGCTCAGTGAGAAGTCTTTGCAAAGCAGGTGCTCCGAGCAATTTACTCTTGAGTTTTGCTCCACTCAGTGGTGTATGTAGGGTAATGCAGGCACGGCACATTTATGCACACAAAACACAAAAAACACCCATCTGAGATGTAGTGTGGTTAAAAAAAATAATCTTATTTTAAGTTTGAACAACTTCCTCTTAGGGTATACCATAACATATCATTTTTTATAGCAAATACAACCAAACAAATATAGAGGATACAGATGAAGATCTAAAAAAAACATAAAAAGCGATAGTGTATTACTGTATAAAGTGTAGATATTTGCACTGAACAGAGTTGCACTCACAGAATGTAGACTGGTAAAAAAAAAAAAACCTTAATGTGCCTCCTCTTAGAATGGTAGGTGGCCAATCCAGGACTCCTTCACTTTTTGTGGCAGACTTCACACCAGTAGGGAAGGCAGTACTCAAATTATTATCCAAATTAGGATCTGATTTTATTGCTTTTTAACAAATATAAAAAATATACATTAAATAATAGTCCTACACGTTTTGTCCTCAAGGACCCAAATAAAATAACAGGAGAAACCCTCACCCCCTTCCCAAGTCTTTACCTTCATAGGGCCAATCTTTGATTCTATTGGTGGTCCAGTGGGTGTTTCCAGCAATAATCAGCTGTTTACACTCTTTCTAGATTGATTTTCCCGTGTTCACAATGTTATATGAAGTCACTTTGGGTGCGCCACTTCTGGCTGGCGTATTATGTTACAAATGGTGGCCATCTTACGTTCCACGCTCGGTTCTTAAGTGATCACCATTGTGATTGAGTCTCAAAGTAGCAACACCAGCCTAAATGAGATGATGGGAGTTTACAAGGCTAAGAAATCACAGAAAGGAAAAAGGCAATATTATAGTTCAAAAGTTACAGAGTCAAATATAAGGCTTGTGTTGCAGTTTTTTTTCACATTGAAATTAACTAGATTTGTTATGTTGCCTTTGAGACCGTATGGTAGCCCAGGAATGAAAATTACCCCCATGATGGCATACCATTTGCAATAGTAGACAAGCCAAGGTATTGCAAATGGTGTATATGTCCAGTCTTTTTAGTAGCCACTTGGTCACAAACACTGGCCAAAATTTGCATTCAAATTATTCTTTTGCATTTTTCACACACAAAAAAAAATTATGCCATCATGAGGGTAATTCTCATTCCTGGGTTACCATACAGTCTCAAAGGCAACGTAACCAACCTGTCAAATTTCAATGTAAAAAAAATGAAAAATGTAAAATGCTATCTTTGACCCTGTGACTTCCCAAAACACTATAAAACCTGAATAAAATGATATATAATAAGTGTGGGTACACTTAATAAGAAAGAGGTGAATGACGGTTGACCAGACATATAGTCAAATTCCAAGTTTTGTTTACGTTTTATTTTGATCAAAACGTGTACATTTGACTCAGTCCTTAAGGGGTTAAATAGCTTTAGTTACAAATGTAAATAAACATTATGTATTTACAATGATGTACTTAAAATTATGTCAATACATACTATATTTTAAAAGTAATATTTTTTTTTACAGTTGCAAAATAATATGTTACCTGAGATAATACATAATTATATAACACTAATTCAGGTAAACAACTTTAAATATTACCTGGGGTAATATTAGTATATAAACTAAAAAATAATATTGAGAGACTGAAAACTTTAAAAAAAAAAGTGAAATTCACACAAGTAACGTACTAGTTTACTAGTTTACATTTAGAAACTGTTTGTTGTAAATGCATTATTAATTTGTAAATATAACTTACTTAAGGGGCTACTCACTAAAAAGTGAATTAAGGTGAACTGTCAAGAGACCTGAAAATCTTAGCCGAAAAGCTGCATTGGAAAAATATTTAAGCTGGAATCATTTTTTTTTTAGTTTGCCCACTTTAGGCTGTAATTTGCAATTCTTTCATACTACTTATTTGTATATATATATATATTTTTTTATCACACTTATTCGTATATTTTTTATATTAGATTTTGCAATTCACCTGACAAAAGATTTGTGATTACTCTTGCCAAAGACTTGCCATGCAAATTTGCTGCAGTGTGAAAAAGTGTCAACTAGAACTCTAGCTGCTATTACGCTACAACGTTATGAACAAATTTGCCAGTGAAAATATTCTGCAAGTTTGAAATACCTATAATTGGAATCTACTACTGGCGTAGGGCAAGTTATCCTTGCTATCTTAGTCTAAGCACCACTAAAGGTGCCAGGAAATGCCAAGTAAATGACTGATTCTAATAGTTCTGGTCTCAAAGATGGCGGTATCCATGTTCACCCGCAGATTGCGCATGATGCACATTTTCTTACTTCAATCTATAACCAGTGATTTGCTGGGACAGTCACTTGTTTTGCTTTTGTTGTGACTGTTCTGACACTTCATTTGTCTTGAAGAGGTTAAATAAACAAATACACTATATATATCCCTGTGTTTCCAAAAGGTCGTTGACATGTTTAGCTGGTCCCTGGTACAAGTTATAGATGAATTACACGTTTACAATAACATAACTCTTGTCGTGTAAATAACTGCCTGCTAGAGAGGCTGAATGGAGGAATTTCTGAGAGATCACTGGTTAAAGAAAAAACGTCGAATGATTTATGCAGAATGACTCAAAATATCAAATGTATTGTTGTTTTAATGCCAAGGGGTCATGCCCCACAAATCTTGTAAAAATGTTCTTAGCAGTTAACAAGGATAATGGGAAAGGGTGGAGTAGCCATAGCTTTTGTAGATTTTATGAAAACACTTGTCACTGTCCCAAGTTCCAGTGTCTGGGAAATGACTGTAAGGTTATTTTATTGATACAAAGCTAGTCCTATGACGTACAGTGAGACAAAAGGAATGGCTTTCTTCTTTGTTTTTTATTGTATGTATTGGGCTGATGAGTACTATGGTCCTTTTCTGTACTATAGTTTGAGCGCAGGACTTAATTTTGTATGTATGACTTTGCTTTTGTATTATACAGCCGTGATACAGTGCTGCCACCCACCCCATGTGTTCCCCATTTAGGGTTAATAAGTATGTAGGGGTTTAGAAAAATGCCCCTCTCTGTCTCGTTAGAAATTTTGCCTTTAAGCTGAATGAAGCAAATTGTTAGTATAGGAATCATCCGAGAGGTTCTTCCTTGGCAGGTGAGCTTACATTTGAATGGCCTCTGGGGTGATACTAATAATCCTTCAGTTATTAAAATGTGCATAGAGATTTGGCATTGTGTGCAAGTAACTTTTTTCTTTGGTCTTTATTGCATATATTGGGCTGATTTGTACTATACTTATTGCTGCTGCCAAGGAGTAGTTATAAAGGAACTGTATGGGCACCATAACAACTTCAGCTAAATAAGAACAATAATCTTTGTATTTGGCTTGCACTTTTCTATTTTGAGTCATCGCTATCTGTGCAAATCTTATTGCAGGTTTTTAAGCCATCATTCACTTTGCCTCCCACAAAATAAAATACAGTGATTCACATGTCCTTAATCATTGCTATTTTACTATTACCTTTCTTGTTTTACCCACAACAGATAATTCAGCGATTCAAATGTTTAGAATTTTAATAACAGTAAAACTGTTGTCACCTTTTATGTCCACTAGATGGTACACAGATATTGCTAAAGTGATTACTTAATGGTAAGGTGTAAAACCAGGAATTAGGCTTAACGTATCCAAATCTAAAATAAAATTATTATACATCTATTAAACTTTTTTTTTATTTATTTTTTATTTGCACACGTTCCTTTCCCCTGGCATCATAACTACTACATTATAATGGCTAAATTACTCATTTAAGAATGCCTTCACCATTACATACACGTTCCAGTTTTCACTTATGGTTTCTCTGGTGAATATTTTGACTAAGGACTAGAGGAGTACCTAGATTTCATGGAACCCAGGGTGGAAATGTATATGTGTAAAACTATATACACACACACATAGATACAATATAAACATTTGTTAGACAATAAGCATATATATACAGTATCTCACAAAAGTGAGTACACCCCTCACATTTTTGTAAATATTTTATTATATCTTTTCATGTGACAACATTGAAGAAATGACACTCTGCTGCAATGTAAAGTAGCAAGTGTACAGCCTGTATAACAGGGTAAATTTGTTATCCCCTCAAAATAAATCAACACACAGCCATTAATGTCTAAACCGTTGGCAACAAAAGGGAATACACGCCTAAGTGGAAATGTCCAAATTGGGCCCAAAGTGTTAATATTTTCTGTGGCCACCATTATTTTCTAGCACTGCTTTAACCCTCATGGGCATGAAGTTCAACAGAGCTTCACAGGTTGTCACTGAAGTTCTCTTTTACTCCTCCATGACGACATCACAGAGCTGGTGGACGTTAGAGACCTTGTGCTCCCCCATTTTCCATTTCAGGATGTCCCACAGATGCTCAATAGGGTTTAGGTCTGGCCAGTTCTTCATCTTTACTTTCAGCTTCTTCTGCAAGGCAGCGGTCGTCTTGGAGGTGTGTTTGGAGTCGTTAACATATTAGAATGCTGCCCTTCAGCCCAGTCTCCAAAGGAAGGGGGTCATGCTCTGCTTCAGTATGCCACAGTACATGTTGGCATTCATGGTTCCCTCAATGAACTGTAGCTGCCCAGTGCCGGCAGCACTCATGCAGGCCCAGACCATGACACTCCCAGCACCATGCTTGGCTGTAGGCAAGACACATTTGTCTTTGTACTCCTCAGTTATTTTTTTATTTATTTATATTATTTCTTAAGTTCACTCGCTATTGTTAGATGGATGCCGCTACAAGCCAATCTCTAAGGAACTTCAGTGACCACGAACTACCGAGCTCTTGACCATGTCTCCACATACTCTCCCTATTGGATTACAGGTGCATACAGCTACAGGTAGTGCCCCACTACTTACTGGTATACTGACCTTCCCTACTTACACAGTACAAATTTTGATGGCAACAGACTTCTATATTTCTGATGAACGTACTTGCAGAACGGCAAAGTTCGGACTTACCGGTGCTCCAAATTCGAACTACTTCAGTGACTGGAAACATACACTAACTGGCATTGCAGGCGGAGGGGCAGGAACCGACTGACCATCCCACCATGAACTCAAGCGCTCAACACTGACAAACTTATGCTGAATACAAACCTGCTCGAGTCGCTATCACGGAGTATGGCACTGCCTGGGATCAGGTCGTCCATTTTACTGACTCACTAAGGTCACCCAGTAATGTAGTTATGATACCTATTATAAGGCAGTGGACCCTTACATTCAACCTGAGAGGTCCCTACAATACATGCCACTGTTAAGGCATTTCACACACTTATACTAATGGATGTTACTTGAGACAATTGTGTGGTGTACCGGTTAGTCCCTAAGAGACACACTGGGACTCTTTGCCACCCTCTTTAGGGCATGAGATAGCCTGCTACAAACCCCTTTTCCTTCCCTGTCCCTACCGAGAAATCCTAATAGGGCTAATATGGTTGTTCAAACAAGAGGGAGAGGAGTGAAACTGAACCTATATTTTACACTGACAATAAATCAAAGCGAAGGTGGAGGGATGGTTATAATATAAATTTGGATACACCAAAAAACAAATAAGATATAAATATATATATATATATATATATATATATATATATATATTGTAAAATCTTCTTATTTCTTCTTCTTTTCTTCAGTTGATTGATATATATGTATTTTGTATCTATAGTCTTGGGTCAAAGGTTGTCTATATTAATGAAAAGTACTAATACGCAATCTGACTTACGGTTTCTTCAGGGTTATTCTTAGTTACTGATACATAATAAAACAACAAAGGATGTTACATGATCATTGATGTTCAACAGCAGATGGTAATTGCTGGACTCCTGAAGGGAGAGTTACATCGTTGTACAGGAAAGAGAGCCAAGAGACCTCGTGTCCCTTTGTTCAGTTAACTATATAGATGTGCCCATACTGACATCAGAGTTTAACTCTAGCCATATAAGGACAAGACCCCCAACTTACATTCCAGAGTTCTCAGACAAAGAAAGCCTTGTGACTTATACCATCTGTTACTTATGTCAAGCCACAGATCCATATATAATCAATAGAAACATAGAATATGCAATATTCTACACACACACACACACACACACACACACACATATATATAGATATATATAAACAAACAAATAAAAACATAAAAAAACAAATAATAAATAATACAATTTAAACTAAGGAAGCCATTATGTTTAGGCCTCCTGTGGGTTAGGCATCTACTTTTACATTCCTATGCTAAATGATGGCTATGTATCTATTCTTAATGTATTGCTGAATGTACTGCACTGTCAATCCAATGTTTGCTTGTAAATATGTTCTCACACACAGTTCAGACTTACATATCCTTATCCACATATGACATGGTCGCATATTGTCACCCTGGACACGGAGGAACCAAGACGATGACCATTCCACAGCCTATTAGCCCAGAATAAATGTGGCTAATTCACCTTACCTTGCCTATGTCAAATCCTGCTTCTGTTGCGGATCATTTCTGTCGTTGCTTCTGATATCCAGTACTCTTTTTGCAATTCTTGTTTAGTTTTTGTGGTTTTCTATTCTATGTCTGGTTTTCTTTATGCTGGGATTCCTGGGTTCATTCCTTTATTCCGTTCCTGGAATTCCCAGTCTCCTGGATTCCTTTAAATGTTTGTTTTTTTGTTGTCACACCCATTCCTTTGCCATTAATCCTTTTTGTTTCAGTCTGTTGCTGCAAGCAGTGATCTAATTTCCTCTGCTCCTTACTTTGCAGGTAAGTACTGTGTGTGTGTTTTATTGTTGTTTATTTAGTCATGCATATCTAGGCAGTTAGGACCCACCGTAATTGGAGTACTTTGGCACAGTTGTGGGCTGCATACATCTTAGCCATTTATGTATGTCTAAATCTCCAATGTTTAATACATATATAGTACTTAATTATTTCTCCTCTTGTTTTGCCTTGTATCTCTGGTCTTGTTTTATTTTGTCTTGTATTCCCAGTTCATGTACAGTCCTGTCTTGTCCTGTTCATGTTTCCCTCATGTATTGTGTACATGTTCTGGGTTCTGCTTTCTTTCCTGCTCCGGTTCTGGGTTCTTCTAATCTTGTCTTGTTATCTTGTTTGGTGCCTGTTCTAGTCTTACCTTGTTTCTAGTACTGGGTACATGTCTGCTGCAGGGCCTCCCTATCTAGATCCTGGGAGATCATCATATCATCTATTTCCTGGCTTCCGCTTAACCTGCATCAGGGCTCTGGTATGTGGCCGCACAAACCATGGTGCTCAACACCCTGCAACAGACACTACCCTGCACCAGACCCTGTTTGTCCATTTCCACGCTCAGACTCCCATCATCCTCATCAGGCACACAGGGGACCCGGTCTCTGTACCACCACCCATGACAGCCTACTAATATTATTTTCCTCATTCTAAGAGAGAGAATCCTCCCGTTGAATCCTTATTTAGTTAAGCTACTTGTTACACCCCGTATCTATTGACCAATTACTGGTTACTGGATTAGTCCGAGCAGTGTCATGTCCACATCCCTGTTGGCATTTCATCCACTCAGGGATTGACACCAATGCTCTCAATACACGATTTACAAACTATCCACATACTCCACAGTTAAGTTTCTTGGTTTTTACAACTTAGTATTTTTTTAGATTGCCCTATCCTCTCCTTATCTCTAGCCTCCTCTCTTTCTGGCACATAGTTACCAGGGAAGTGGGACCCCAAACTCCCCTAAAACAACACAACCTGTAAAGGCCATCGTTTGTGTGGTATCCCTTAATGTTAGGGGATCGAATTCCCTGGAAAAACGATTCTTGGCGCTGTTGGAAATCCACAAATTAAAAGCTGACGTGGCCTTTTACCAAGAGACCCACTTTCGTGAAGGGGCAGCCTGAAACTTCAAAAATATAGATTTCCAGGGGGTACTTCAATAACTACACCGAATCTAGATCCAGAGGAGTGGTCATATTGATAGCAGCACACCTACACTTACAAAGCTCACGAATCCGACGACACAGGCAGATTTATCATGGTTAAAGGTCAGATGGGAAGGACGATGGTTACGATGGTTAACTTGTATTTACCAAATAGAAAACAATGCAGGTCCTTATTCAAATATTTGAGCCGAGTTGACGAATTTGCTGAGGGAGTTCTAATCTTGGGGGGTGACTTGAATACCACACTAGACACTGTCCTTGACTTGACCTCTACAATTCATTCATATCATTCATACTCATCCACACGGAAACACCTCATTGACTTACTCGATCGGGCCTAATTGTATGACAGCTGGTGCATACTTCACCCATTTAGGCAGGACTATTCTTTTTACTCCTCCTATTCGTGTATTGATATGCTGTTTATGCCCCAGAGATTTTTACATTTAATACAATCGAGCACATATGGGCCAATCACCTGGTGTGACCATGCACCCCTGTCTCTTGCCGTTCTCAACCCGTCCCTGCCCACTAAGATAATTCAGTGGAAGCTGAATGACATGCTCCTGAAACACGCTCAGGGAAACTATCAACCACTATTTCACAGAAAACTCTTCCACCACCCCAACCACTACGTGGGAAGCACATAAATGTGTTATACGGGGAGTCCTGATAGCATTATCTACTAAAATGAAAAAAATGAGAGAAGCTGAATTAAAAAACTTATCTCAGACATCAGGGACCTTGAAAATAAACACCAAGCCACTTTGTCACTAACAGATTATAAAAACTTAAAAGATGTGAAATCCAAAATTCAAACCCTGCTAAATACGCTAACCAATCGGAAGCTGCTGCCCTGCAGCAGCAGAGACAGTCCACATTTATAGAAAAAAAATAAAAAAAAGCACAGGGAATACCTCATACATGATACCCGACATCATGAAAGCATTCCATGACTTCTACACAGCCCTCTATAACCTTACAGACGCGCCACCTCCCAAGGAGCGCATAACTCAATACCTACAATCTAAGATCAAACACACAATCCCTTGTAATGCACTACAGGTATTTTATGAGTCCCTGCAAATTGATGAATTGCGTACGGCAATTAAGCATCTTCCACCTGGTAAAAGTCCAGGCCCGGACAGATTCACGGCTAAATATTATAAAATATTTTAAATGAACTATCACAACTCTTCCTGACAGCGTACAACTCGCTCACTTCTGACATAGGCCTCCCACACTCAGCACTTGAAGCTCACGTTACACTAAAACCCGGAAAAGACCCAACAGATTGCGATAGCTACAGACCCATCTCCCTAATTAATGTAGATTTAAAGATATTCACTAAGATCCTAGCCTGGTCTACCCTGGGGAGAGAGGCTAAAAATGACACCACAAAACTACTTAATCTGATATATCTCTCTAAAATAACCTCTGCTCAATCTCTCCTTCTCTCTATTGATGCCAAGAAGGCGTTTGACAGGATGGACTGGTCCATACTGCTAGGCACGCTGCGAGCCATGGGCTTTGGCCTTAATTGGATAAAGTGGCTCCAGGCGATCTACTCCGAGCCCACAGCTCAACTTACAATTAATGGAGAGCTATGTGACCCAATAAACATAAGGAACGGTATGAGTCAAGGATGCCCCCTCTCCCCTCTTCTATTCAGTCTGGTTATGGAGCCATTCTTACAAGGCATAAGGGACAATCCCAATATCCAGGGGATGCAAAAAAACAACGATGACCACAAAGTTGCTGCGTTTACCGATGACTTGTTATTTATGGTCCTCAACCCGATAGATACCATGCCATATCTTCTCCAAGAAATCTCAAATTACAACAAAATATCTAACTTTCAGGTTAATTTCACTAAGAGCAAAATTCTGACATTGAACGTAGCCCCAAATGTGCGAACCACTATCTCAAGTCGATACCCGTTTAAGTGGGCTCCCACGGCCATTAAATACCAAGGAGTTTTCATACCTCACACACTGTCAAAATTACTTGAGCTCAATTTTCCACCACTTCTGCTTGAGGTAACTTGTGACCTTAAACTGTAGTATAAATCACATTGTTGCTGGCTATGTCTAGTAAATATTCTAAAAATGAACGTTCTTCCTCATGTCCTCTATCTGTTACAAGTCCTTCCGATCAGCCTTCCTACATCATTTTTCACGGAGGCTAGAAAACTATTTACGGTATTTATCTGGGCCTACAAACATCCCAGAATCTCATTACTCACTATGACCAGGCCTAAATCTCTGGGAGGGCTGGGTCTTCCTAATTTGGAAATCTATCAAAAAGCAGTATTACTAACCAGTATATATGAATGGTCAGACCCTAACACTACAAAATAGTGGGTGAAATTGGAGGACTCTATGTACCAATATATACCATCCCCTGGCACAAATCAGGCAGGGCATTCGTACTTCCATAACATGCCACTCACCTGACGATCATTCCTACCTTGAGGAGCTGGATGAGTGTGAGACTTTTCAATTTGATTTCTCCGTATCCATCTCCTCTTTACCCGTTGACCCAAAACCCTCTCCAACCAAAACTTTCCCCCGCTGCCTAAGAGGCATTCCATAATTCCAAATACCTAATCCTAGGTATATTGCAACAAACCATGGGGACAACCCCATGCCATGAACTGATACCTGAGGGGAGCCCAACGAATCTGCAACAGTTCAGATATGACCAACTGACACACTTCATCTCCTCTATGCCTGAACTGACGGCTTCCAAACGAGACATTACCCTTTTTGACACACACTGTACAACCCATAAGATCACACGTAAACATGTTTTTATATTTAACACACTTCTTTGCCAAGACATCGACCATGCATTTCCATCTTTCACCTGATCTTGAACCACAGATCTTAATATAGACATTTCCAGAAAGGAATGGACAAAAATATTCCTCCAACTGCACAAATCCTCTAAAAATTCTAACATAAAGGATGGCAACTATAAAGGAATCACTAGATGGCACTTTTCGCCAGGTCATCTACATACCCTCTTTCCAATGACAACCGAAAACTGTTGGCATTGCAATCAGGATATCTGCACTTTAGGCCATATATGGTGGACATGTCTAAACATCAAAACATTTTGGGAACACATAACTAAACTAATTCATACCATGGCCAGAGTCCATATCCCACTTGACCCAAAGCCCTTCTTGTTCTACTTGTTTCATACGCCACTGCCTAAACACACTTCAACGTTACTTATACACCTTCTGACAGCTGCCAACCTCCTAATTCCCCTAAACTGGAAGAAATCCACAGCACCCACTATTCGGGAATGGATCTGCAAAGTAGAGTCAATCCGAGTCATAGAAGAACTTTGCATCTCCCACAAATACTCCCTCTACAAAAAGATATGAGACCCATGGTTGAACTTCGTACAGAAAGAACTCAACTTCCTTTCCCTCTCCTTACTACCCTCCTGCCTGCCTCTTACTCTTCAGAGATAACGGAGTGCCAGAGCTAACTATTTAGCTAGTTAGCTAGTTACTGTAAAACTAACAAATGGCAATTATAGAACCTCTTGTTTTCCATTAATATTTTGTTGCATCTCCTATAGTTCTCCTATATTTTTTCTTAACATACATATAGATAAGTTATCTTAATACATACACTTTCACCGAAACGACAACATCTTTCCTAATCTGATGTTTTATACTTGTTTCATCCCATAATGTAACCAGGTGGATGTATTTTTCTCTTGTACCTGTATTTCTTTACTTTAATAAAGTATTAAAAAAATAAATAATTTTTATTGTTGCTTTTCTGATTTATTGTTTTAAATTATTTTATTTGGGTCCCTGGGGAAGTTCCATTTGAGGGATGAAACACGCAGGGCTAAGTGTTGTATTTTATTGTATACTTGTTCTATTAACCCCTTAAGGACACATGACATGTGTGACATGTCATGATTCCCTTTTATTCCAGAAGTTTGGTCCTTAAGGGGTTAAATAAAGCAGATCTTTATTTGAAAAATACCCTTAGTCCTGCCTTCCATATTGATGTGATGACTGTCATCAGTGGAAGAGTCCTTGATTAGCCCCCCACCATTCCAAGGGGAGGCACCCTAAGGAAATAGTACTAGTCTTCATTCTGTGACTGCAACTCTGTTGTATGTTATACCGTATTACATTATATTTTCTTTTTTTTTTTTAAATTTTTTTTTTGTAATTTTTTTTTTAAATTCTTTATTTTTCACGTGCACAAGGTGACATAACCAGCTTGAAACGCCACAACAGCTGTGTCAAGCGCATTAACAACAATCGTTTTATGTTCATACTGTGGTTTCGTATATAAACTGTACATTTTATATTTAATTATTGTTAGCCTTGAGGACATTCTCAGTCTTGTTTCGTATAGTAGGTAATAGTTAGTGTGGTGTTTAAGCTAGAGCGTGTGCGCTCTTCTAGCCTCTTGTGTGTTCGTTAGTGAAGTGTCTGTGGAGAGCATGGTTTTGCGCGTGTCTAGCATGTCTGGTCTGTCGATGGGAGGTTTGTGATAAACGCATGTCTGAGAGGGTCAGGTGGCTAGTAGCCTGTTGTGTAGGTCACTATCCCTTGTTACCCCGGGGGGGGGGGCTGGAGAGGCGTTTGTTGGCCTGGTCTCTGTGGTGGGTCTGACCTCTGTGGTAGGTCTGCATTATATACTAAGTGCTCTGGTGTGAAATGCTGTGGATACTGTGTGTTTTGGTCTGAGGCCTGAGATTGTGTGTCTACACTGGGGATAGGAAGTAAAAGGCAAGCATAAAAAAAAAATAAAAAACAACATAAAAACAAAATAAAAAAACAACAACAGATAGCTTGTGCACATTAGTTGTTGTGCCATACTGTAGTCTGAGTTCGTAAGTGTTTTGCAGTTCGCCATCACGGCCGTCGATTATAGGAGTTAACCTTTAGCGTTCGAGTAGTCACTGCCGGGTCCTGGCTGCGGCTGGCGGAGGGTCGGGAGAGTAGTGGCCACCTGTGGAGGACCTCGCTTGGGGTGATGGGCGGTGTGCCGAATGTCCCGATTTTGGGGTCGTGTCTACCTCCGGATGTTGAGGTAAGTCTCGGGGTGAGTGTGGGTGTTCTGAGGTCCGGAAACCTCCTCAGTCGTTGGGGGTTCGAGCGGGGAAGTGGGTACCACTTCTGGTTGACCAGCTTGTGTGGGAAGATGGTCTAGGTCGCATTTTTTCAGCTCAGATGGTGGTGGTTGCAGCTTGTGGTTTGCCCCTTCCCTGTGGGACAAATGGAGTTATCTTGGCCAGGTCCCAGCGGTGTGTTACCCCAGGGTTCCCCGGGGCTTCCCTCTCATGCAGCTCCGCTGGTGGCAGTCCCAGTGAAGGCAGAAGTGCCTGTGCGCTCTGGAGGTCTGAGACGAGATGAACGATGTTCTTATGCAGTACCTGTAGTGCGCGCTGTGGACGCCAGCGGTATGTAATTTGGTGCATCCGGAGCAGAGCGGTGAATGGTTGAAGGGTCTTGCGCCATTGTAATGTTGCCCCCGACAGGTCGGTGTAGAAGGACAAGTCCATATTTTCAAATCTATAGGTGGCTGAGCCTTTTAAGGCTGCGAGGAGCGCCATTTTATCCGCTGTGCTCCGAAATCTCACCATGAGGTCTCGGGGTGCCGCTTCTGGCGCCCTCCGGGATTTAGGGATCCGGAAGGCCGCCTCTATGCCGTTGTATTTGACCTGTTTGGTGGGTATTAGGTTTCCCACGAGTCTCCTCACGAAGTGTGGGAGTTCTTCTGTGGGGACTTCCTCCGCAACTCCTCGCACTTTCAGGTTATTGCGTCTCCTGGAGTCTTCTAGCGCTGCAAAGCGGTGTTCCGTTTTGGCTTGCTGTTGTTTAAGAGCACTTATCTCTTGCTTGAGCTCCGCTAGTTCGTGCGAGTGTTGTGTGGCTGTGAGTTCTGCTGCATCTATGCGAGGTCCGCCCGCAGTAGTGCTACATCTGTCTGTAAGGCCTTCTGTAGGTCCCCCAGCATAATTTTCAGCAGAGATGCCGTGACAGGTTCAGAGTCTCCCGGGTTCTTGTTCGGTTGTGGCTGCCTGCCAGTGGGTAAGTTGTTGACGGTTTCCTCTGAGTAGAAGTCCCCAGAGGAGTCAGAGAATTCCTCGAACTCGGCAGCCATATTGGGTCTGCACGCGCCTTTTGCCTGACGGAATAAGTCGCCTATGGTGGACCCTGTTTTGGGTCGATCTGGTTTCAGTTTTTTTGTTTTTCTTCCCATTGTTGTTGTGGGCAGTTAGATCTTTGGATCTGAAGTTAGTGTCATGCCAAAAGCATGAGTTGGTGTTTGATGTGTGTTTATATATGTTAAGAGTTGTTTTTTTGTAAACCTTGGGATGACATTTATTGTGGTCTTTGATCTTGCACCAGGCCTAGACCATAAAACATCTAAATAGCCATCACCAGAGCTGGACACAAGGAATTTCATAGAGTGGGCAATAGACTGCCAGACCAACCCCCTCTGATCCCCCCCCAGGTGTCTGCCCACTGAGAAACAGCTAGTTTAGATATATGAGGGTGTTGGACTATCCAGGGAGGGTCAGTTATTCATTTTTCTTTTGTCAGTAACTTCTAGGAGACCTATACCATCTAAGACTCCCACAAGAATTCTATATGGGGTAAATATATGTAAGGAATTTCTTGTGTTTTCTCCTATTTTATTTTATGTACTGTTTTGCAATTTGTTTTCTGTATGTCATTTATTTCTGTATTTTGTACTCAGCACTGTGAATCCTTTTTGTCAGATTAAATGTTTACTTAATCAGCTTGTGTCTCTGTTCTCTATGAGCTTCACTCTCCAGAGGAAAGCTCAGGTAAACACGTTACCAAAAGGGGTTAACTATATATGTTTTATCAGTAAAAGTAGAACTGTGATACTATAATTCTCCTGTGTGTGGGGTAACCTAAGACGCCCGGGTTTAAAAGTCTTGGTGGTGGCAGTAGTACTAAGGGGGATAGTGTAGAAGGGATTGCAGGGGTTAATTGAGTGGTTGCTGGGACTAGCAACAGGTAACCAGGGGTCTGGTGTCATTACCCCTCTCACTTCCACACTCTCCCCACTGTCTCGGCTGGGCCTATAGCCCACGCACGTGACAGTTAGTATCCCCTAAATCCGTTGGTTTTCGTTGTTTGGCCTCGGAGCCTCTCTAGTATGCGACCGCTCTGTTCCACCATCAAGCTCCGCCCCTCTATATTTTCTTTTTTGAAGATCCACAGCGTTATCCTCTTTATTTCTTTGGTTGTATTTGCTGTTAAAGGGATACTCTCTAGGATATCCTTAGAGGAAGCTGTATATAATTTCAAACAAGATAAGTGTTTTTTCACACTATTCACAGATTGTTGAGGGTGTGGATATCCTTTTTGTGTGTATACATAAATTTTTAGGAAAGCCTGAATCTTCCTCGATGACTCTTCTCTCATTACAGTTGTCCTCCTCAGTTCCCTCACTTCCTTAGCCCAGTTCACTCTCTCTCCTTCAACCATTCCCTTGTTCCACACCCAACTTTTACTTGCTTTTTAGGACGCACGCATTCTATTCATCAATTCAGTCCTCCCTCTCTGATATACTGTTCCTCCTCGCGTATTTCTTTATCCCTTCCTTGTAGATTGTCAGCTTGCTTGAGCAGAGCCTTTTTTTACCTCTTCTCTGTGTTAATATTTTTTTATGTCAATTGCTTGTTGGCAAATATTTTCATTCTATAATTGTAAAATTCTGTGGATTATGTTGGCGCTATGTAAACGATAATACTAGTGGTTATGGTGCTTAGAGTGTTCCTTTAATGCTTTTCTGGAGGAGGAAAAATATTTATTTGCCTAGGGAGGCAAAACTTCTTGAACAGGCCCTATAAATAGATGATTACAGTAGATTGTGCTAATCTTTCTTTTATAAGCTGAATGGTTCTAATCTGCAATCTACATCTTGATTTCTGTACACGTGTTTCTGTCAAATGTTTTTTGTTTTTTTATGCTCCAAAGAGAAAGCTCTGCGAAATAAATCAGCACTGTATAAATTCTAATAATATTAAAAATAATGGCTGACAACTGGCCATTAAATTATTAATTTTAGCTCTGACCTCCAGAATGCCTTCCTGGCTGCTAAAGTTATTTTATTTTTTATAAATTCTTTATTTTGAAGATTTCTTGTCGTTTAAAGTGGGGGTACAGAAAGGAAAAGTTGGCGGTACAGTTGTTATACATAGTTTACAGAGTTATCATGTTCTCATGTAGCATATGACCAGGCTGTATCATGTGGCATATCTTTCAACTTTTCTTTGGGGTTTGGGTGGGGTACAGAAAAAAGAAGAGGGGAGGTGGGTGGGGTACATTTACATACAGTTTCTATTCTTTCTTTGATTCATTCAGGTTCTCTTTATGTCGGTGTGTCTGGGTGGTTTTGGGAATGAGTTGGCCTGTGTGAGCCTTTTGCGTGGTGTTGTGTCCGTGATGGATTACGTCATGCGATGTTAGCGCATATTGTTCCATTGGGTGGGAGTGAGGGGGCAGGTGTTTGGGGGTACCTTTTCCTGCCTGTTTTGCGTTGTTTCCTAGTTCAGGTATTACCTATGCTCGGGTTTAGTCGAGTTGCCTGGTTCACTGTCATGTCTGGGGGTGTAAGAGGGGTGCCGGGAAAAGGGAGGGTGGGGGGTAGGTTACCGTCACCTATTGTTTCCTTTGTGCTTTTCCGGCTGGGTGTGGTCCCAGTTGTAAGGGGTGACCTGTTAAGTTGGTGTGTGTGTCGACCAGCGTGGGTTTTTGGCTTGTTAGTGAGTCCGAGTTGGTATGATTTTTGTGGTTGTTGTCTTGTGTTGCTTTTATTTTACGGCCCACTTTTATGGTTTCCCATCTGTTTGTTTTCTATTATTTGAGTGTGTGCTGGGTGCCTCTCGTTAGAGTTGTCTTGTGGTTTTGCTTACTTCGGGGGATGTTGGTATGGTGGTTTTGTTGTGTGGTCGCTGGACTTTGGCTGTTTCAGCTGGTTTCTAGTTTGACGGATATGTTGGGTTCTGTTGTATTTGTTTCGGGGTGTCCGGTATTGGGGGTTTTGTTCGGCCCTTTGGGGTTTTTGTCTGGGGGTTCTCTCAGTTTGTATGGTTGGGGGTTATGATTGGTGGTGTTGGCTCTTTTGTGTTTCTGTGTGTGTGGGTGGCAGGTACTAGAGGGGGTGTACCTAATGGTTCTGGGTGGTGCTGGTGGTTTGTGTGTCTGCGGAGCGTTCTTGTAGGGTGGGTGTGTGTGTGTTTCAGGTGGAGAGAGGGTTTTCGTAGAACCATGGGTCCCAGATTTTGTGGAAGTGCTTAGTCGAGTCATGCACCAGTGCGGACAATTCGTCCATTTTAATTGTCTCCTTTATTTTTTGGGTTATTGTGCCCACGGTCGGGGTGTCTGGGCTGCCCCATTTTTCCACTATGGCTCTTCTAGTGGCAAGTGCTATTTTGGCGATTAGTTTGTTTTGGGCCCTAGGTGTGTTGGGAAGCGGTTTGGATAGGAGCCATGTCCAGGGGTTTAGTGGTATATCCGTGTGGAGGATTTTCGATACCATGGAAGCTATTTGTTGCCAAAGTTGTGCGGTGGGTGTGCATTCCCACCACATGTGGAGGTATGTGCCCTTCTGTCCGCAACCCTTCCAGCAAGTGTCCGTGTCTGACCTGCCCATCTGCTTGAGCCTGAGAGGGCTAAGGTACCATCTCATAAGCGTCTTGTACGCCTGTTCTTTGTGGTTGACGCAGATTGATATAGACGCTGTGGCCTCCCAGATCTTGGCCCAATCAGACGGGTCTTCTGCCGGGCCTAGATCCCTCTCCCAAGCCGACACATATGTAAGGGCCCCGTCTTTGACATTTTGGATTAGGTGTGTGTAGAGTGCGGATATTTGGCCTTTTTGTGTCGGGGATTGCATGCATTGTTTTTCGAAGGATGTGAGCGCTTTAGTTCCTGCTTGTTTGGTTGCTGGCATGTCTAGGAAGCTTTTGATTTGGATGTGGCGGAACAGGTCAAATGTACGGTATGGCGTTGTATGTGGGAGTTCTGGGAAAGGTATTGGTTGTTGGTTTTTGTAGTAATGGAAAAGTCGAGTGAGGTCGTTTGCCTCGAAGCGGGCGAAGTCTTTGGGTGTCATGCCCCGTGGGAAGTGGGTGTTGCGAAGTAGCGGGGTTAATGGTGAGTGTTGGGTTGTAAGGCCGCTCTTTTGAGTTGTTTTGTCCCATATGTTTATGGTGTTGAGTATTGCCGGTGATGTGCTGGGTAGCGGGGGCCTCGCTGATTTCTGTAGCCAGATGTATAGTGAGGGGAAGTCTCTGCCGAAGATGTCGTGTTCAAGGTCTACCCAACGTTTAACTCCGTATGGGGCGTGCCAATTTTGGGCCTGCGTTAGTTGGGCTGCCTGGTAGTAATGTGTAAGGTGGGGTAAGCCCAGGCCCCCGGCTCTATTGGGTACATATAGGGTTTGGCGTTTTATTCTGGCGCGTCTGTTGGCCCATATAAATTTGTCGATGGTTGTTTGTAATATTTTGAAGTCGCTGCTCCGGATTGGGATCGGTAGGGTTTGGAATAAGTATAGGAGCCTAGGGAGCACGTTCATCTTGACTGATGCCAGTCTGCCCAGCCACGATATCGGCATGTTTTGCCAGGTAGAGATGTCGTGGGTTATTTTCTGTATCGTGGGTGTGTAGTTCAGTGCATAGCATTGGGGTAGGTCTGCCGGGATAGCGATCCCCAGGTATTGTAAGTGGGTGGGATTTAGTCTGAAGGGGTATTTTTCTTGGATGGTTGCCGTTGTGGAAGGGTCTATGTGTATTGAGAGGGCTTCTGTTTTATCTATGTTTAATTTGTACCCTGATACCGCCGCATATGCTTCTAGGGCGCGCAGAAGTGGTGGTAAGGAGGTTATGGGTTCCGTGATTGTGATGAGTAAGTCGTCTGCATATGCTGCCGTTTTATATTCTTCCTCTCGTATTCTGAGGCCTGTTATGTCGGTGTTGAGCCTGAGGCTTTGTAGGAGCGGTTCAAGGGAGAGTGCAAATAGGACTGGGGATAGTGGGCACCCCTGATGCGTGCCGTTGTAAATCGTGAAGGAGGGGGGTTGTGTATGCGGGAGTAGTAGGTGTGCTTGAGGTGTGGCGTATAGCACTGTCAGTGCGTTCCTGAATTCTTGTGGGAATCTGAGTTTTTCGAGGGTCGCAAATAGGAAGGGCCAAAGTAGTCTGTCGAAGGCTTTTTCTGCATCAAGTGAAAGTATTAGAGTCGGGATCTGTCTTGTGTGAGCTGTCCAGATGAGGTCGTATGTCCGTCTAGTGTTGCCGCTAGCCTGTCTCGTGGGTATGAAGCCCACCTGGTCTGGGTGGATTAGTCGAGTTAGATAGGGGTTGAGGCGGTCTGCTAGGAGTTTGGTGAGTAGTTTAATGTCTACGTTGAGGAGTGAGATTGGTCGGTAGTGTCCTGGGTCTAGGAGGGTTTTGTTGGGTTTGGGGAGGAGGCATACATTGGCCTGTAGCATGTCTGGTGGTAGTCGGTCGCCTGCCAGGATCACGTTGTAGAGGTTGCAGAGGTGAGGGATCAGGGTGGATGCGTAAGTTTTGTAATAGAGTCCTGTGAACCCATCCGGGCCCGGGCTTTTATTGGGTTTCAGTGTTTTGATCGCTCCTGCGAGTTCTTCTGGCGTGATGGGGCTGGCTAGTGCTAACTCCGCTTCTGTTGGGAGGGAAGGTAGTGGTACCTGTTGAAGGTATTGGTTAATGAGTGTGTTGGTGTGTGTTGGGTTTTGTCGGGTTTTAGGTGAGTGGTCGTACAGGGCTTCAAAGTATTTTTGAAAGACGCCGGCTATCTCGCTCGGTTTTTCTGTGAGAGTCCCTTCTGGTGTGTTTATTTTGGTGATTTGTTTACGTTCTGTTCTCTGCTTGAGTTTCCGTGCGAGTAGTGTGTCTGCTTTGTTTGCTTTGTCATAAAATAGTTGTTTTGACCACAGTAATGCTTTGGTTGAGTCTTTCGCCATGTTTGGCGAATTTTTTAATTTTTGTTTGGCATTCTGTAATTTTTCCGTTTGTTTCTGGCGTTGGGTTAAGTTTATGCTGGGCCTCTAGGGTCCTGAGGGTCATTAGTGTCTGTTCTAGGTGGGCTACCTGTTTTCTTTTGTGTATGGTCGCTTGATTTATCATGACTCCCCGGATTACTGCTTTGTGTGCCGCCCATAGAGACCCATTGGAAGTTACTGAGTCCTTATTTAGTGTGAAATATTCTGTAATAGCTTGGGCCACATTTTGTCGGATTGTTGGGTTGTGTAGTAATGTGGGGTTTAGTCTCCAAGACCAGGGTCTTGTCGTGCATGGTAGGTTAAGTGTCAGGGTGATGTCTGCGTGGTTGGACCACGTGATGGAGCCTATGTTCGTGTTGTTTACCATGGGTGCCAGTGCCGGGGAAATGAGGAACAGGTCTATGCGGGAGTGGGATTGGTGAGGGTGCGAGAAGAACGTGTAGTCCAGGGATGAGGGGTGAAGGGCTCTCCATGCGTCGATCAGGCGGGTTTTTGAGATGAAGGCAGAGAGCATTTTGTCTGCTTTGGCTGTTGGTTGTTGGTGGTGTGTTCATGCTTGTGTACGGCGCCTGTCTACCGTTGGTGAGGGTGTGGTGTTGAAGTCCCCGCCCAGTATGGAATGGTGGGAGGGGAAGAGGGCTATATTGACGTGAATGCGTAGAGGTGCGTACCTATTTTGCCGGTTACAGTGAGGTTTCGGCCTTGTGGGTCAGCTATAGTTCGTTGGATCGAAAGAGGGCATGATTTCTGAATGATGATAGCTACTCCATTGTGTTTGTCGTGGGGGGAGCTGGCGAAGTGGTTAGTTCGGTAGTGTCGGCTTAGGAGAGGAAACTGTTTGGTCCGGGTGTAATGTGTTTCCTGAAAGAGTATTATGTCCGCCTTAGATCTGTTTGCCCAGCGCATTACTTGGTGCCGTTTGGTGGGGTTGTTCAGGCCCTTGCAGTTTATTGATAGGCAGGTCAGGGTGGCCGGCATGCTGGTGTGTGCGGTGTTGTTCTTCTGGTGTGTGCCTCCTTGTTGTAGTGGATTTGGTTCTGAGGCTGTATGTTTGATGTACCTTGGGGAGGGGGGTGGAAGATGGGGGGGGGAGATAGGGGGGAGGTGGCTATGTAGGATGTAGGGCTGTGGGTGGGGGGGTGTTGGGGAGGGGGTAGGTGGTTTAGATCCTGGTCTTACTAGTCTGTCGCCAGGAGATGGGCGAGCGGGTGGGTGTGCGTGTGTCTGTCTGTTGTAAGGGGTGTTGGTCTCCTCTTATTCTCACTGTGTGGTTGAGGTGAGATTAGTCGAGTTGGTTTGTGTGTTTGTGGGGGGGAGAATGGACTGTAAGCGTGCCCTTCGCTCCCCGCCCCGGGGTGTCTGGGTGGGTGCATCTCAGTGGGGTGTGATGTATGGGTGGGGTTGGTCAAGTTGTGCATTTGCGTTGCTTTGTGAGTATGTGGTTGTGCTGCTGCTTTAGTGGGGGTGAGTGTTTGACTGTCCCGTGGAGTCGTTGTGTGCGTACCTGGCGAGTCGGTTTCGCGGGCCTGGGGGTTTCTATGTGTTGTCTTGGATCGCCGGTCCTTTGTGTAGGTCAACTTTTTGTTTGTAGGGGGCTGGCCAAGGTCTGTCCGTTGGCTGTAGGATCGTCAGCTTCCCTCGTTACTGTTGGTTGGTGCTGGAATGGAAAGGTGTACAGCTATGTTGCAGTTATACCATGTAAATCTGTGTTTGGGGTGAGAGGGTCGACTTTGCTGGGTGCCTTTGTGCGGCTGGTTGTGTGCTGGGGGGATAAGGAGTCGAGTTGGTTTGTGGTGTGTTTTTATATTTCTTGTGTGTGTGGTTGTGTACCTTGTTGTTGATCAGTTGAGGGGGTGCTTTTTACCGCTCTGATGAGCCGTGTGTGGTGTGGCACCTGAGTTTGACAGATATACACAGTAACAGTTTATAATGCATAACAATGGTTAGTCTTGAGTGTAGAATACATAATAAGTAGCATTGCGGTAACTTTTCTTGTTACTGTCAGAGTCGCATGCTGCCCTGGTAGGCCTCTAACATGCCTTTCAACAGGGAAGCATGCGCTGACATATCTATTTCGCGGCATCCTTTATCTAACACAGCGGTGCTTGTAGCTAGTAGCGGGATCTGTCTTTGGCCCCTTAGGTCTGGGTGTTGTAGCTTAAGGCCTCCAGTGTCAGTTTGCGGGCTGTGGCCCTGAGGGTAGGTTAGGAACTGGGTCTAGCTGTTCGCACAGGGTAATATGCTTGCGTAACAGGTGAAACTTAACTATGTACAGCTTTGGAGTGCCTGTGAGACATGTATACTGCTAGGCGGCCTGTGGCCTCTGGTGGGAGATGTCGTGGGCGGTTTAGCCGTGCAGCTGAGGGGGTGCTGTCCACCACTCTGAGGTGGTGTGGGGTCTCCGAGTGCCCTGTCTACTCGGGAGCATTTTGTGCTGCGTTACGTAATACATGTTAACATGATAATTCAGGCTTGGTTGTTGAGTACATGTTGGTTTGCAGTGAAAGAGTTGTTCTTTTACTATCTGGGGGGGGACGTATGCTGCCCCGGAGGGCCTTGATCATACCTTTCGGTGGGGTCGCCTATGCTGCCATAGCTAACCTGCAGTATCATATCTCGGGCGCGTGCGGCGGGGTCTGTTAGCTAACCCCTATGTGCGGTTATTGCGTCCTATGGGCTCTGTCTATGGCTTATTTCTATTCTGCCTTGGGGGTGTATTGGGTCCTAGGCCCGGCAGTACGCTCAGATAAACATTCAAGTATAACGGGTGTATTTTAACTATATACAGCATTGAGATAACATTGAGGTAACATTGAGGTATGCATACTACCAGTCTGTTAGAGTCCGTGGTTTGCGGCCCTGAGTTGGTTTCAGGTTCCCGGTATGGGGTTGGTGCCAGTTGCCGTCTTTTGGGCTTATCAAGTGTTCATGTCGTCTTGCTCTTGTTGCGTTGGCGGGGACCCTCGCTTGGGTTGCGGGCGTGTTGGGAGTGTACGGGGCCCTCCTCTGCGGCTCGCAGTCTCTTTCGTGGCTTGATTAGGGTCTTGTGCTGGGTAGCGTAAGGATATCCCCAGATGGTAGGCAAAGTCTTGCATATCTGCTACCTGATGGAGGGTGAACGATTGTTCCCCCTTTTTCACCGACAGTTTGAAGGGGTGTCCCCACGTGTAGCGCCATCCGGTTTCGATCAAGGCTGTGGTAAGGTGCTTGAGCTCCCGGCGTTTCTTCAGTGTGGTCGGTGCTAAGTCCTGATAGAAGTGTATTTGTTGGTCTTGGTAGGTAGGCTGGTGGGATCTTGCCGCTTTCATATGCTGTTCTTTGACTGGAAAGTATAAGAGTTTCATTATGATATCCCGTGGTGTGTTGGGGTTGTAGGTTGGGGGACGCAGGGCTCTGTGTGCCCTTTCTATGTATAATTCTTGGTCTGAGGCGTTGGGTAGGAGGGACTGGAAAATTGCTTTGATTGTGGGGAGAATGGCGTCTGGAAGGACTGTTTCGGGTATGCCCCTGATGCGTATGTTTTGTCTGCGGGATCTGTTATTGAGGTCCTCCAGACCGTCTTCAAGGTAGAGCATTCTGTCTTGCAGGAGCTCTGTGTCCTTGTGGAGGGCTGTGGTCTTTGTTTGGGTGTCCTTTATCAGGCGTTCGTTATGGTCGGTGCGTGAGGTCAGTACCTCCAGCTCTTTCTTGAGGCCTGTAATTTGTTTCTCCAGGGCTGCTGCGGTGTAGGCTTTAATGTCTGCCGATGTCTCTCTGAGCATGGCCCGGAGGTCCTCTTTGGTGAGGGGGGTGGCAGGGTTTTTTTCTGTTTCGCTCCCCTCTGAATCTGAGCCGGAGTCTGAGATGGCCGCCCGTCTTCTTTGGCGCGAAACATCGTCGCCACCGACGGCGTGGATTCCTTGCGTTTTTTGGTCCCCCCCATCTGTAAGAGGTGTGTGGGGTCTTTGGGGGCCCGTGGGAGGTTTTTGGGGGCGAGATGCACCCGGTAGCCAGCTGATGTGCGCGGGTATTTCGGCCGGGCGGGAGAGCTGCAGGCCCGTGCGTCTTACTCCATTGAAGGTTAGGCTCCGCCCCTAAAGTTATTTTATTAACACCTTAAGGACACAACTTCTGGAATAAAAGGGAATCTTGACGGAATATTTCCGTCATGTGTCCTTAAGGGGTTAAAAGTTCCTGGACTGTTACCCTGGCAACTGCTTCCCAAATTTCACCCAAGACATTCCCCTTCACCTCTTCCCTTAGATATTATTCCTACTGAGAATATAACGCATCCCCAGGTGTCCTATATGAGCCCCGGAGGCAAATAGTTTAAGTCTAGACTGGTCAGCCCCTTGTCCGTAGCTCCATTAGGTGGGAACAGGCCCAGAAGGCTTATACAGGTTTCCAACTCGGAAAACTCCTGTACACTGTGATTTTTTCCTTGGTAGGAAAGGCGAGCGTCTTGGGAACACCCCACCGGTGGGTGGCCACTGCTCCCAACAGAGGTTTCAGTAACCTTCTCTAAGCCAGTACTTTCCTTGTAGTGCAACATCCCCATTCTACCATCCAAGTAATACAGTTCAAGTCAATCTTTTTCAGAAGCAAGAGTTTTGGTTAGCACATGCATGTACACAGCTCAGTTCTTTGCCCAGCTCAGAACACTGTGTTCAGTGCTAGTGTAAAGATTTTTAGCTATATGGCTTGCTAATCCCCACTCTTCACACTGCTCACTCTATCACTTTCATTTTCCCACGCCGAGTAATTCTGTAAAGGTATATTTTCGATAGGATGTATAGGGAGTTGTCTTTGTTAATTTCTGTGCACTAGGGAAGAGGCCGGTGATTTGAGGGTTAACATCGGCTGATAATTAGTAACAAGAGAGTTGCTACCTAGAGGATAGAGACTGACTTTGCAGGAACAGTTTCTTGGCACCGTAATCACTACAGTACACGTTAAAAATGATTGGATCTGCTTTTTGATTAAAGATACAATGATGGATATGTTTTCAGGGACATCAGACAGGTGACATGTTTGAGATTTACTCGGTTTATCAACATTTGTGAAGCACTGTGTGAGAAGGTTGCTCAATACATTTTTCATTTGTAATAACGGATGGAAAGTAAAGATTTGACAGCAGATCAAAGGCTACAGGTGGAGTAAGCATACTGCTCACGTAGCATGGGAAAGTTCCATATAGGTTTAATGACCCAGGCAAGAAAGGTAAAGTGTTTGTCTGAATTGAAAGGTTAGCCAGTTAATTATCTTTACAATGATGTAGACAGGAACTATGACTTCTCTGAAGTTGCAACATTGAATAAAACATTTTTTTTTAGGTTTCTAGCACTTGTTATGTAGAAGGGTAGGCAGCTTGAGTAACTTAAACCAAAGTCTCTACTACCTGGTCGTAAATAATTTGTTTTCAGGGGAATGGAGCAATGCCTTGAGAGAGTCCTCAGATCCAGGTCAGTATGAAATTAGGTTTTTTAGTAGCACTTTCAACACAGATTGGAAATGTTTTCGTCCTATCTCCCAAGGTTACTTTTAAGCATCTAAAAAACTAAAAACGAAATATATAACAACAAAAATTTTGTATTAATTTTTAAGTGGTAAAGTTACTTTTGGTCCACCCTATATTTTAAGTATATTGGATGGATTTAATATATTCAAAGTGCACACTCACATTTATTAGAGCCTTCTAATGGCTCCAAGAGAATAGCTTGGAGTGGAATGATCTGCGTTCTTGGATATATGTGCGTTTCCCCCTCTTGGCTGTATATGGTAGAAATCCTCACTGTAGTGTATATAGGTAATACAAGAAATAAAATATGGTGCTCATTGTACCTTAAAAGCAATTAAAATAAAAGGAAATGTACTCACTGACTTAGAGCAAAAATTTAATTTGCTCAATCCAAAAGACATAGGTGGTATGTTCCGCACCAAGGAAAATAATGTCTAAACGTCAGTGTAACAACAGGAAGATCCAAGCTAGTAAAATTCACTAATTTTATAGAGAAGCAGCTTATAAAAACAATTGAAATAGAAGAGAGTAACACTAATGTATTTTACCCAGTAAACAGGCTTTTTTAAAGTGTCTTTGAAAAAGCCTGTTCACTAGGTGAAACGTGTTAGTTTGTTATTTTATTCTATTTTTGTTTTTGTTTTTATAAGCTGTTTCTGGATACCAAGTTCATATCCACATTTATACCTCCCAGGCACATCAATCAGAGCTAATTAACAGCTCCACACTCTGTAAGTTCATTTCCCTTTTATCTACAATCAATGATTAATCTACTACACTATATCCCCCTCCCCCCTTTTTTGTCCTCTTTTCTTGTTTCATACTGACCTGGATCTGAAGACTCTCTCAAGGAGCTGCTCCCTTCCCCCTGCAAATAAAGGCATAACCAGTGCAAATATTACAAATGAATAAGAGAAACAGAAGCATTGTTTCATTTCAACTCTTCTCTAAATATTTCTCTCTGTGCTGACTGCCAGATGCGAAAGACAGAGCATATAATAAAGATTGACAGGGAGCTTAGATGGATGCGCCCAGTTGCAGGATAAAGAGGTGTGAATTTCTACATTTAATATTCTTTTTCACATTTACCAAATACAGATTTCTTAAATACAGTGATGAGTAAATATAGTTACAATTGGGAAGTGACAGCTCTGCCTTGTCTTCGATGGTTTGTTCCATTGCTATGTCCTCTCTGTAGGCCGTCAAGGTGCTACACATTGCCTTCTGAAGCTGTTAGCCACTAATACTACTTCCTATGCCTTTTCCCACATCTGCATGTTATCAGATGTATCGTTCTAGACCAAATGTGCCATTTAGTCAACCTGCATAATATAACAAACCAGCATAGTGATGGTTTCATTGAAATTAATTTACGGTGAATACATTTCCATCATCTATCACCAGCATTATCATTAATTGTATAACCTGTTTTATTATCCAAACAGGAATTGCCTCAGAGCTCTTTATTTAGGAAATTATATTGAATATGAGGGTTATGTGGGTTCTTGATCCAAGGAGAGATCTTGCTACCATTGTGGGGTAGAAAAGCTTTTTTCCCCCTAGTTTGTTGCAAAATTGGAAAGGGCTTCAAACTGTTTTCAGATCAACAGCAGAAACAGATATTAGAAAGGCTGCGTTTTATGAAAGCAAAATGTTTCAGCCTATTTAACTATGTTGTTTGGTATAATACTTAGCTTTTTGTTTTTTGTAAATGTATTTTTATTTAAAAAAAAAATTGAATTCACAAGTGGTGAAAAAGTGGTGAGGCACAGAGGTCTCCAACATTGTATAACATAAGCGCTGTACGGTGAGATACGCAGATCTCCAGAAGTGTATAAATGCAAGCGACACGCAGGTCTCGGCAGCAAATAAAGCAATTCAGGAATGCAGAATTTGTAGAACTGAGGCAATACCCCTGTAAATTTGGGGCATCTTTTAACGAAATGGTTTTCAAACCAGTCCTTAAGGAATGCCTACCAGTCCAGGATTTAGGGATAACCCAGTTGTGTCTAAGGTGATTTTTTTTTTCTAAAAACACCTTAGACACAACTGAGCAATCCCTAAATCCTCAACTGGTAGAGGTGCCTTGAGAAAACCACTGCCTTAACGAAAGTATAGTTTTATTATTATGTAAACTAAAATAAGAGATGGATAAGTAACATTACAATATATTCATGATAAGTGACTGTTTTCTTTTATTGGTGCTAACTTGGAGACATTTTGAGATAAGTATTCTCATTATTATTATTATTACTTTAGCACACCCTTATAGTGTGTTGAGTATTTTTATTATTAGTGCGGAAAGAATTCAGTGTTTTCAGGGAGTTTTACTGCTATTGTATATACACTTTCTGAACGCCTACTCACTTTTGTTTGTTATGGTTTAGTTGGAGATTAGTGTAAATCTTTTAGGCTTTGCTCTGAATCCTATTGCTCCTGTTTTGTCAATATTGAAGAAATTATTGTTTTAAGAGATTAATCTTTCCATCTCTAAAGGTATAATCTTCCTATAACACAGTGCAGATTGTTTGATTTGCACAATCATGGTGAAATCTGCATAGAATGTTCTCAGTTGAAGTTTTAGGCACAGTATGAGAGAGTAGAACGAGTTGCAAAATGGAATTTGGATGGACTGAATTTTATTTTGAGACAGTAGGAGACTGTTGGTCAAATTAAGGAAAATGTCTCCACTGAAACCATCTTCCTTCATTCTATTTTGGAAGCATTACCAATGTTTAAATGTCTAGGTAGTGTTCAGATATTTGAACAAAATCTAGATTACAGTGGGATCGTAATGTTGAACATATAACACCTACACAATTAAAACTGGACATATATTTATTGTACAATGGTTAATAAACTATGTTTTTTTTCACTCAAAACTGGGTTCACCCATTCTCAAGCAAAGTCCTAGCAACTGCATTCAATACATTTCACTGTAGCACCGCTGCATCAGAAACATCCTTAGCACTAGGAGAAGAGTAAAGTAGAAATTTTGAAGAATTAAAGGGACACTATAGGCACCCAGACCACTTCAGCTCATTGAAGTGGTCTGGGTGCAGTGTCCCAGTCTGTTTAACCCTGCAAAGGTAATTATTACAGTTATTGAGAAAATTGCAATAATTACCTTGCAGGGTTTAAGGATCACTATAGTGTCAGGAAAACAAACGGTTTTCCTGACACTATAGTGCCCTGAGGGTGCCCCCACCCTCAGGGTCCCCCTCCCGTGGTGCTGAAACTGCTATGTTTGCATTTGTTTGAGATGGCACATGCAGTAAATGTATTATTTTACATGGACCAATTCATAAGAAAGTAAAGCTATTCACTCTTGCTTGTTTACTCCACAAAAACTTAGTGTAACCATATAACAATTTCAAAAATCCGTATTCCAAATATAAAGGACTTTGATGCATCTGTTGGTTAAGATTGTTTCTGTGCATTGACTCTGATCTGCATATATTTGCATATGTGTGAAATGCAGGTACATTTCTCTGGCATTTGGAATTTGTAAGTTTCCCTAATGCTCCTTTATGTGAATTTTATGTATTTTATTGTTCCATTATGTTTTATTTTGTGTTTATGTTTTATGTACTATTTTGAATTCCTCACCATAAGTTAAATATAGTACAGTTGAAGGTTGGTCCCAGTTTGAAAATTAAGAGATTATACAGTTCATTTTGGAAGTGTCTAAATGTGGATCTTCCCATGAGCCAGTGACAAAGTCTAAGGGCCTGTTTCTGACTGCACTGCTACTTAGGTGTTTAGGATTGGCTACAGAGTTGTAAGACCTGTAACCACAAAAGCTAGGCTTCAGAGCCAAAAAGCATGTTTATAAAGATGGTGCCAGGAGCAGGCAGAGGGATTACTTCCAGCAGAGTAGACAGTGTAAGCATCGGGATCAATACCTGCCTGACAGGACAGAGCAGGTACAGGGATCGATTTCTTCCTGGAAGATGGTTGGGGTCCCTGGTGCTGGAGAATGTGGGACAGACATTGTAGCGGGACAGGTCTGGATCCCAAGCAAGGAGTCAGACACCCTGTGATCCTTTATCACTCAATAAGTGCAATTAATATTGTTTGTCCAAGACTCGATAAGGATTCTACGAAAAATATTACGATAATATACATATATGGCAGTAGAGTATACATTTAATAATTACAAAACAAAATATAAAACATAATAAAAAAGAAAAATAATCACAATGGGATTGAACCTACATCCCATCAAATCTAATGTACATCACTGAGTAGAATAATAAACGTTAGACTTGTGCTTTTCTATTTGGACAGACCAAGGTTAAGATCAAATCTGTCTGATTCAGCGGTTAATCTGAATAATGAACAACTTATGGGAGGGTGTCTGGGCACTACTTGCACCATACCCATTGCAGTGTGCTGTAGTGGTTTTGGTGCTTAAAGATTTTCTTTAATTCAAACACATGACACTAGCACATGATAAATACATGACAAGGTTATAAATTCATGTAATAAATGAATAGTTATACAGGATACATACATTTAATTGTAAATATAAAGTATCAGAGGGATATTGTCCTGGTGGTTGGTGAAGCAGGGACTCCTTCCTGCTTCCCTTGGGCGTGCTGTAATAAGTCTGTGTGTATGTTGGCGTGTGCCTGTATGTACCTGTCTGTGTCCATGTGCCTATATGCATCTCTGTATGCCTGTCTGTGTATGTGTTTGATGCTGCTTGTCTGTGTGTGTCTATGCCAGTGTATGCCTGTGCATGTTTGTGTCTTCCCTTCTGTGTAAGTAACTGTGAGTGGGCACAAGGCATGTGAAATTGGGGAATTGGGGAGGGGCAGGGGTGGGGTTTAGAAAGGAGTCACTAAATCATTTAAGGGCTCAAGCAGAGGATGTTTTTGGATCCCTAGCATTACCCCTGAAGTTTAGTCCAAATTCAGAGTAATCGTAGTTGAATCTCCAGGTTTTGTAAAACCCAATAATATCACTGGTGCATCACTGACAATAAGTAATGACCCTACAATCAGATGAAGAAGAAAACAAAAATCTATTAAAAAATGAACATACAGAGGTGACTCAAACAGAGACAGATCATATTTCCTATTAATGCCAAGGTTACCTGAAATTTATTTACCTGATCCAATAAAATTACTTTTTTAAGACATTTTTTTCACATTCAAAGCATTCCATTCAATGCAACGTACATTCAAAATATTTAGGTAACTGTAATACATAGGAAAATCAGTACGGAATAATAACATTATTAGCACACAACAAAGCTATGCCTGAAAAAGTTAAATCATAGTAGAAGTATGGAGGGATCAGCACAAAATAAAAAATGTTGACTGAAAGGCTACAGTACACCTATGAAATCACATCTGACCTAAAGGGGCATGCAACATTTGACATTATTATTATTATTATTTTATTCTTTATTATGTTTGGGCAAAGAAATTATACAGATAGCATAACAAGCATCATATACAATAAATTAACTCAAGTAAATAGCGCTATTGAGATTCTATGTCCGGTTTTGTGTTTAAAGGGGAGCAAAAGATATTAGCCTGGTGGGGCTTAGACTACAACGGCTGGTTAGTGCAATATAGAGTTAAGTAAAGCAACAAACTCTGTGGCCAGTTGAGTCAACTGTGAAGGAAAGTCCACTAGACAGCTGCTTCCACAAATCAAACTGTAACGCTATTATGTGATGCCACCATGACTTTCATATATTTTGAGCCCCCAGGAGCTGGGTCAGTGAACAGAGAAGGCTCTTCCATGATGGTGAATTATTGGACAAGTCCAGGTAAAATGCAGTTAAGTTTCAAAATCATATGGTGTCTTCCCCTGCATTGTTTGTAGGAAATCCACCTTATGCAAGTTGGTTTTAAACATTAGAATTAAGTCCATTGGAGGAGTGGTGTGGCTGGTGCTTTGGCCATCGAACATGCCATCCAACTGTATGAGGTTAGCATGCCTAGGTTTGAGGAGTTAGGTAAGTAACCTACGAAGATGTGGTAGTTCTGCTGGGGTAGTCTCTTATGACAGACTATACTTTTCATTAAATTTATACTTTGAAATGTGTACCCTACTAACTTAAATTTCAGTTAGACATTATCCATTTATCTTGACCGTTGGCTCTTACCCCTCAACGTTTACTGTTTTACCACTGGCAATAGATTTTCATTTATCATGACAACAGTTTGCTAAGGGGTGCTGCCTTAGGTGCCTCTATGGATGAGACACCACTGTTAATTATTATAACCCTTTTCCTCCAGATAGGTAAATTTAAGCAAGGTACCCTTCATATTTTGTTTATGTTCATCTTAACCAGTTTGTTATTTATTTATTGTTTTATATATTCTCCTTGTAAAGTACTTTGGAATGTGTTGGTCAAATATAAATAATACTAATAATACTATTCGAGCATAGTTTTAACCTTATTTTATCCATTTTGTTTTGTATATTATATAACGACATTATTTTTACATTATGGGGACATATTTTGTGCAGCTGAACTCCCCAAAATGCCAGCAAGTTCCTTACAAATATCCATAAGCAGGTTGTTTGACGGCTTTTATTTCTATTTTTGTCACAGCTAATGTAATATGACAACACCTGTGTTTGTTCATCTACACTAATATTTAAAAACCTATTCAAAATACTACACATTAAAGGAACACTATAGAGTCAGGAACACAAACATATATTTCTGACCCTATAGTGTTAAAGCCACCATCTAGCCCTCCTGGCACTCTTTTGCCTACCTAAAAATAGTAAAATCTTACTTGTATTCAAGCCTGAAGCTGCTGGCTATGCCCCTGTCTGCCGACATCATCAGAAGTGTTGTTTTAAGCCAATCACAGTGCTTCCCCATAGGATTGGCTGACACTGTCAAAGAGGCAGACCAGGGGCAGCACAAGTCAAACACAGCCCTGGCCAATTAGCATCTCCTCATAGAGATGCATTGAATCAATGAATGAGGAAAGCTCAGTGTCTGCATGCAGAGGGTGAAGATACGGAATGTTGTGATGCACACTAGGTAAGACTGAGATAGGAAGCAGCTCTAGCAGCTATCTGAGGAGTGGCCAGTGAAGTTATCACTAGGCTGTAATGTAAACGCTGCATTTTCTCTGAAAACACAGTGTTTACAGCAAAAGGCCTGAAGCTAATGATTCTACTCACCAGAACAAATACAATAAACTGTAGTTGTTCTGGTGACTATAATGTACCTTTAAGGTATACTGTTTCAAATATGTTATACACAAACACACCATACACAAAATACAAAAGATATCAATTAACTAGCAATGTTTGCTCTGAAGATAATGATACTTGCATTAAGACCCATGACTATTTCAGTCCACCACATTGTTTGACAAGACAAGAGTTCTGATTTATCAACTGCATTTACAATTTTGCCAATCTCAGTACATTTAACATTTTCAGTTCATTATATATAACCAGTGCTCTCCCTTCTATCTATCTATCTATCTATTGATCTATCTATCTATCTATCTCCAAAAACTTCACCATAGCTGGGTCTAAACAAAAACACTTATAAAATAAATGCCAACATGACTAAATCTAACAAACTTTTATATATTTTAAGGAGTGGGGTTTTTCATTACAGTCATCATTATTTATATTTTATTTAATTAATTCAAGGCCCATTGCTAAAGCAAACACAATGACAAACATTGACATACTACGTGATCTATAGCAGATGTAAAAATATGCCTGATATGATATGTGATATATAGAAGCTCCTGGTCTTGTTAGCTGACATTCTAGTTGGAGGTTTGGTGATAATATAAGTACTGAAAGGGAATGAAATGATGATGATGGAAAAATAATTGGAAGAATAATTGGAGATATTAGGTGAACATCGTAAAACTGTCATTAGCATTACCTTCAGGAATCTCTATCACAAGTTCACACTCCTAAAATGCATATGAGCAAATCACAAATTAAATGAAATGGACTATGGATGAACAGTTCAATTTGATACGTTATTCGGATTGAGGAGAAAAATTATGATAGATGGTTAGACAGCTAAATGTTTATTACAATCACAGATCAAGTGAGAAGTGACCAACAGTGAGAAGAACAGGAGGAGCATAAAACAATCTTTATTGTATATTTATTTAGTATATGCCGTATTTAATAAATATATAATATATACGTCAAATAAACATATTTTATTGCCCCTTCTCTTTTTCCTTTTACTTCGCAGAACACTAATTGGCCCATTTTCACTCTTTGTTGGTTCTCAAGGGATACTTTCCAAAGACCAACCTGAGATATGCAGGTGTTGCACAAAAGAATAATATATATTAAAATGAAATGGGGTGCGCCGACAGGACTTGATAACTGTGGCTTATTAATGCAAAGAAATTATGTTACATTAAAATAAATGATAAACTTTTTCAAGATCAACAATAGTGTATATAGAGCAGTGAGCTTAGTAATCAACAACATGGGAAGGAGATTGTTGAAACCTGGAGTGTAGATCAAGTCATGTGCAAATGTGATGACTTGTAGACCAAGTGGGAAGTGTTGAACGTGGAATGTCCACCCCTCTTTTGTCTAATTATTTAGAGCCCCCACCATCTGTCCATGGGTGGAGGCTGGGGTAGAGGATACTAATTCAAGACTTGTTTTATTATTAGAGCCCCACCCACTGCCAATAGGTGGAGGCTGGGGTGGGGACATTATGTCCCCCACCTTTGATCATTTTAAGAGCCCCACTTACTGTCAATGGGTAGGGGCTCGTGGACACTAGGTAAACACTTCTGTAAATTTATTAGAGCTCTCATCTGTCACTAATATATCATATTTTCTTATTCTGTTATTTGATATGATTTAAAAATTAATCAATACACTTTTGAAGGCACACTCCAAGAAACACTTCAACCACTACAGTACGTTGTACTGGTTATGATGCCTGGAAGGACCTTGGCGACCCCCCATTGTGCGTAATAAAACTGATTTACCATCACTCCCCAGTTCCACTACAACTGACAGACAGCCAGAAGCTTTGCTCAGTGGTGCAGTGCATGGCTCAGTGGCCGAAGGGAAATCGGCCTGTTCTGGCAGCCAGTGAACTAGCCCTGCACTGCAGGAGTTTCTTAGGTGTAGAAAAGACAGAAAGCTAATCCCCAGCTAATACATCAAACCAATGTACAAAGTTTAATTATGTATAATGACGGTGCCAGCCCTTGCTGGCACCATAACCACTATACCCCAGTGCTGTAGTTATGGTGTTTGGAATGTTCCTTTAACATATATAGATGATGACATCATGACTTGGGAACACTGTAGTGGTTATGGTGCCAGGTGTGCCCCGTTGTAAGTAGTAAAATCATTTTAGAATGATTTGACTTTACCTGGGATCTGCTGGGCACAACTTCCTGCCTCCTCTACATCTGATAGAGCTATAAGCTCTTGATTAGGAGCCTCCATTAGTACTCCTGAGTTAAGCCCTGAATTGCAGGGCTAGCTCATTGACTAAGAGTGTCAGCCAATGTGCAAGCCCTGCGCCAGCTGAGCAGGGAGTGATGGATGCCTAATGGATTCAAGGTAAGCAATCAAACCATATAGCAGCTTGGCTACCTCCAATGATGGGTTGCGAGGGCACTCCCGACACCATGCCGTAGCAGTTATCATTTATGGAGTGTTTCTTTTATCAGACTATCATGACTGAAAATAATCATCTCCTCTTACCTCCCCACAAAATTATCTGGAGAATCTACCTTCCCTCCTCCCTGCTTCCTTCAACTATGGATGTTACAGTTATATTGGGGTGCTGTTAAGTGGTTAGAGGGAAACTAAGTTGAATGGATTCAAATAAAGACAAGGCCTGATGAGACCACAGCAAGAGTTATTGTTTTATAATTTAGTTTTTAATTTGCTAAAATGTAGTGTTTATTGAATAAAGTGGAGAGGGAGAGGTAGTTATATACTAGTAGCTTTTTTTTTTTTAATAAGTCTAAATTTTTCTCCATTTTCCCATTTATATTATGTGATTTTTTGAGCATAGAAAATACTTGTTGCCTCCTTACATCTTCACTTTTTGACGGGCTTCTTAGATGTTTTTTTATTTACACAAGCTACATGTCATTTCAGAGGAAATCTATTATTAGAAATAACTTAAAAGCCATTGAACAGCTTTTTTCCCCCAACATAACATTGAGACTGATCGTATGATCCCTGATGGCAGTGGCCTCTTTCAGCAGGACAATGCACCCTGTCACACTGCAAAACGTGTTCAGAAATCGTTTGAGGAACACAACAAATAGCTCAAGGTGTTGCATTGGTCTCAAAATTTACCAGATCTTCAATTGAGCATCTGTGGCATGGGCTAAAAAAAAAAGATCCATGGGAGTCCCACCTCAAAAGCAACTTCTGCTAATTTCTTTGTGACAGATATGCCAGGACACTTTCAGAGGTTTCGTGGAGTGGGGTACATGGTCGGAGTACTGGAGCTCCGTCACATGGAGTCTACACCTCAATGCATCAGAGCTGTTTTGGCAGCAGAAGGGGGACTTACACAATAAGTGTAATGTGATGGCTGTGGCACATAGTCTTTTTAAAAATCGGTACAGGACATTTGAAATTTCCTCTTGTTTCCACATTGAAAACATTTAAATTATAGTAATTAGTCTGGAGTAGGGTTACCCAACCATAATTCATTCCAAGATGAGTATCACATAAACATGTTGAATCGGAGCCCATGAAAAGTATGTAGTATTTATTATTTTGGTTTGCTATTGCAATTCACTCTTCTGGAAGGCTGTATTAACTGTTGACTGGATTCCCTACCTGCAGTCCTAAAATACTAGATAATACAGGGCTGCATTTTCATAATGAAATGAACAAAATGGAGGCATCAGGTGACGTCAATTTTATGGGCAGAGCTACTAAGCCTATTGTAGGGATATATGTTATGAAAATTAGCATTTTTGTTGTTTTTTTGGGTTGTGACAGCACATAGAGATAAAAAACAATGGGTTTTGAACTTTTAGACTAGTCCTTAAAGACATAAAACTTTATAAGAAAAAAAAGTTTAAAAACCTAACTCAGAAAGGCAATATTAGGAGTCATCACAATTGACGATAGATTTTATATTTTTATATATTTATATTGCAATAAAAAACTTGAGGGGTGGTATGCTAACTGTTCCAATGGATGAGTCTCTACCAACCAATGCTGCATTGCAATTTACCCAGAAATCTGAAGCACATACCCACAAGCTTGCAGCGCCCCTCTACAATATGATGCCTAGCATCATGTCCACTTACTTTTTGTGGTTGCAGGGGTGACGTGGACCAATCAGAGTCCACCTTAGTATTTAAATAACGTTTGCAGTCCCATAGTCTTTGCTAAGTTGTGGCTTCCTCTTGGTTCCTTGTATAGTGCATTTACAATTCTCAGATTTCTGGTTATTTTTTGGGGGGGGTTGTTTATTGACCTTCCTGACCTCTGTAATCCTGACCTGGCTAGTTCTATCATATTCCCATATTTCTGGTATTCTGATCTTGGCTAGTATCACATTTATGCTTTTTTCTTTTTACATGTTAAACCAGGCCATTCTAAGGTCCGGTATTATGTCATTTCTGTCTTTCTATTTCTGACCTACACTTGTAAGTTGGGTAGTGTATCCATGACAAGCCATTGATGTGATTGTGTCACAGGCGGAGCTTGCCCAGGAAGGGTCTACCTGAATAACTGGCAACCCAGAGCAGGTCATGCAGTGTTCTCTGTATGGTGTTAGGGCCCTGAGTGAAGTGTGAGTGGGTCTAATGATGCTCTAGTGATACACTTTTTGTGGACAGTTCCCTGGTGTACCAACAAGTGGTACGGTGGGACAGGAGCCAAAAATCGTGACTGTCCCACCAAAATTGTTGAAAGGCATGCATTTATATATAAATTTATATCTGTACACAATGCATGTAAGTGAAGGCCTGATTATAGTATATAAAGCCGGAGCAGTGAATATTCTTGGCTAGACCTATGCCAGCAAAATTCCTATATACCTCATTATTAACAACTATTCAGTATATTTCTAAAGATAGGGATATCTGCGCTAATATAATTCAGCAGATTAGCTCAGTATTAGCAATTACACAGATCTTGGAAAGAAAACAACCTGTCTTAGGGTTGCCACCTGAACGGTATTTTACCGGCACAGGCGGTATTTGAGTCCGCCTGGCCAGTACCAGTCCGCCTGGCCAGGTATTTGAGTCCGCCTGGCCAGGTATTTTTCTCAGTATAAACTGAGATTATTCTGCAATACCAACGCCAGCCAGTAGGTGGCACTGTGGATGTGGAGACAGGGATAGGAAGTTGATTGAGAATTCAAATTTAATGTCACTATAACTGGAAAAATTATCTAAGTAAATTTTACTTTCAGTTCGGCTACTTTAGCCTTACATTTAAAATCCATAATTTTTCGATTGCAAACTTGATCAACTAAAATACTGTAAAAAGATAATGTAATACTCCATTTTAAAATCTGCCCCTATAAGTATGGTTTGCCATATCCACCATATTCTCCTGGCAGGGCCAGATTAACATAGGAGCTGTTCTGTGTCACTGGAAGAAATGGGGACACTGAAACACTGTGAGACATATGGAAACTGTGAAACATGGGGATACTGAGATACATGAGGACACTAGGGAACACTGGGATACATATTGTCCCTATGTGTCCCCATGTCTCCGAGTGTCCTTGAGACACTAGGACACACTGAAACATAGGGGCACTGAGACACTAGGGGACAGTGGGAGACATGGGGACACTGAGAGACTAGGAGACACAGAGACTAAGAGACACTGGGAGACTTAAAGACAATGCACTGTGAGACAGGGAGACAGTGGGAGCAATCACTCTATACAGCAGAATCAAACTGTAAGTAGTTTTTTGGTGAATTTAAAGAATTTCCTTTTATGTCACTCCATGTGATTTACACATTGTGATGTCACGCATGCATAATTAATAATGCAAATTAGTATGGCCGGTATTTCTTTTCAAGAAAGGTGGCAACCCTACACTCACTATATACGTATAGTGATTATTAAAAAGGCAACCTACAGGTTAACTTTCATTTTGTTGCAGTGTTATTGTATGTTTGCCATAGAACCCCTAAAGAGTAACTAATTGTCACATCCTCAATTTTAGGTAAACTAAAAGTTATGTATAGGTTATGCTGAGATTATTTTTGAATTCTCAAAAATGTATTTTATTTTTGTTTACATACCTTGCCAGCATGTAACTGTGCACACATAAAGGCTTTATGCAGTATTTGTTTGATTGATGTCCTCGCGCCCATGTTCACACCCAGAGCATCATGGGATGGTGATCTCAATGTAACATGGAAGTGCAGCAGAAACAAGTACGTTTTATACTTTGCTGCTCTGTGCAGCCCAGTAAACATTAAAACAGTGTTTATTTGGTGAAGGAACAATGAATATCACTTCTCAGATGTGTCGATAAATATTTTGCTGGAATTATAGTGTTTTTTTGTTTGTTTTCCCAATGATCGAGAATTCAAATTTAAAGTCAATATAACTGGAAAAATTATCTAAGTCAGTTTTACTTTCAGTTTGGCTACTATAGCCTTACATTTAAAATTCACTTTAATGAACAACCCTGTCAATTTCTCTCATGTATAAAGCATTGAGGTTAACTAACCTCAGTCCGTGCATTCAACTGCAAACTTGATCTACTAAAATTCTGTAAAAAGATAATGTAATACTCCATTTTAATCTGCCCCTAGAAGCATGGTTTGCCATATCCACCATATTTTCCTGGCAGAGCCGGATTAACATAGAGGCTGATGGAGCTGCAGCTCCAGGCCCATGCCCATGGAATACATTTTTTTTACTACTCTTTACATGTTGGTGTAGGGAAACAAATCTTGTGTGGACTGGCTGACAATTAAATTAGTTAATGTAAAGCTGACTGTGCACTATGAAAATGTTCTTGCTGCTTCAGTTTCTCTAACTCTGTGGCATGCAGGGCCAGCGCCTGTCACAGGGGGAGCAGGAGGTGCTGTGCTTCTTCAGTATGGCAGAGAAGGTACCTGCTTACCTTGATGGCAGGTGCCTGCTCTGCTGATAAATTCCAGAGGAGAGGAGGCAGGCGGCAGTGTGGGCGGCAAGGGAGGCTATTCTTGCAGCTTCACACTCCTCCCTCACGCGCCCTCTGCCGGGCGACGTCATTTTGGGCCCGGCATACTAAACCGTGCAGGATGATTGAGAAGTTGTCCCCCACTGGACCCCAGGGAGGTAGGGAGGCTGGATAGGCCTAAAAAAATAAAATTGTGTGAGTGTGTGTCAGTGAGTGTGTGAGTGTTTGACTGTCAGTGAGTGAGTGTATGTATGTCAGTGAGTGTGTGTCAGTGAGTAAGTGTATGTCTGTGTGTGTGTATGTCTGTGCTTCAGTGGGTGAGTGCATGTCTGTCAGTGACTGAGTATGTGTCTGACAGTGAGTGTGTGTGTATGTCTGTGAGTGTGTGTCTATCAGTGAATGTGTGTGTCTGTTAGTGTATGTCTGTCTATCAGTATGTGTAAGTTTCTATCAGTATGTGTAGGTGTCTGTCAGTGAGTGTGTCTGTAAGTGTGTGTGCTCGTCTGTGTGTGCTCGTCTATGCTAGTCTTATTATAAATTAAATTGACCAAATGCATTGAAAACATCATTTATCACAGCGATAAATTATGTATCCAATGTACAATGTATGTATTAGGCAGTACGTGTGTATGGATGTAGGTGTTAGGCAATATGTGGGTATGGATACATGTCTTAGGCAGTATGTGTGTATGCATGCATGTCTTAGGCAGCATGTGTGTATGGATGCATGTATTAGGCAATATGTGTGTATGGATGCATGTATTAGCCAGTATGTGTGCATGGATGTAGGTACTAGGCAGTGTGTGTATGAATGTAGGTATTAGGCAGTATGTGTGTATGGATGCATGTATAAGGCACTATGTGTGTATGGATGTACACATTAAGCAGTATGTGTGTATGGATGCATGTATAAGGCACTATGTGTGTATGGATGTACACATTAAGCAGTATGTGTGTATGGATGTACGCATTAAGCAGTATGTGTGTATGGATGCATGTATTAGGCAGTATGTGTGTATGGATGTAGGTATTAAACAGTATGTGTGTATGGATGCATGTATTAGGCAGCATGTGTGTATGGATGTAGGTATTAATTAGTATGTGTGTGTATGGATGTAGGTATTAAGCATTGTGTGTATGGATGTAGGTATTAGACAGGATGTGTGTATGAATGTACGCATTAAGCAGTATGTGTGTATTAGGCAGACCTAACTGGAAACCATATGGCAACATTTAGACCTAAATAGCTGATCTAGAAGAATTCTCCAATTCGGCTACAGTCACAGTTCAGCTATTTTTGATTAAACTTTGCAATTTGGTTTTCAACTCACTGCAATTCAGAGTTTAGTGAATAAACCTCTGTGAGAATGTATTTGCTTTCATGAGGGGGCCGCAAAATGATCTTTGCCTAGGGCAGCAGAAATCCTTGCACTGGCCCTGGTGGCATGTTCCCTTTCTTCTACACTCATTACATGCACCTTTTCTCTGTCCCAGACTGTATAACAGGAGCTTCTGCCTGCTAGTAAGAAGGTTAGGAGAGGAGTGGACCAGCGAGTGTTAGGGGACAGTCCTTAGAAAGCGTGGAGCGAGCGCATCATTAGACGCATTCATGCCAAGCTCAGGGTGCTGTCTGCATAGTACGCCCTTAGTTGGCCAGCCTGTATTATTGGCAGGCAGCCTGAAATGAATTCACGCCAGGCTGACCTAATTCCTTGGGCAGATTTTTTGGGCATGTTTGCCCCTTTTGACGGTTCTGGTTACTTGATTTGCGTCAGTGGCCCACCCTTTTAACCCGCCCACCGAAATCCTGCTTCATGGGACACTGCTGTTAGGAGGCATGGATTTACTTGAAATCTTGCGTCACCACCTTCACCAGATACATGACGCTTGGGAGGTGTAACTGTTTTAGTGTTTTCTATCGATATGATTCCATAATTAGGCTCATCATAATTGTCAGCACCAGGCCCAATGTGCTCTTAATATGGCCCTGTTTCCTGGACACACACAACTTCATCATGTTGATTGAAAATACTGCCCTGTACTATGGATAAAGTATATGTTGAAGGATTCATGGTTGATTTATCAACTGATTTACTACCTGCAGCCTGTGACTTCTACAAACTGTAGGGCAGCACTTTCTGTATGTTGCCCAACAATTTGACACAATATGTGTCCTGGAAAATATGGTGGATATGGTATCCCAAGGTTACAGGAGATAACAGGGGTAATTCAGAATTTAATTTCACTGCCTTTTTAGTGTATATTTAGTAGTTGAAATTTAAATCGTGTATGTAGCTTTAAGGGACATTCACTAAGGTGAGAAATGCAGGGAATTTTGCCATTTGAAGAAGTATATTTTGTGAAGTCGAAAAGCTTTTGAAGTATAGCTCCTGGTAATAGAACTTGCAGGGACATACCTCTTAAACCATGTATCACTTTCACAAAATGAATTCTGCAAACTGACTGTACAGTGTATTTATATTTGTTTATTACTACAGGCAGGCATTCTACTTTAAAATTAAGTGATAATTATTATATCAATTGCAAACCTGTTGCTCAGAGACCGCTCCGTGATGTTAACAGTAACATAAACTATTGCCACTTCACGAACAGCACAGGTGGTGTAATATTGGACATACCACTTTTTCAAGGAGTGCCAATGATTGCTTTTACCAACCATGACTCATATGTATACTTTGCACAATTTCTTTCAGTGACTTATTGGTGAATAATGTGTCTGCTGTGTACTGGACAATACTATACAATGGATATCTTCAAAATGATTACACCAATATAGGTGAGCGTTTTTAATATATCACACACGTTACCATGGACAAGAACACCAGTCTTTATGAAATTCTGCTAGTTAATTTAATTTATCCAGAAAAAAAGAGATAAAGCTACTAGAGTAGGGCAGGCAACCTTTTAGTATTACTGTGTCAAAAGAAAAGTCTCTTGAGATGTGTATTGTGGCGGGACGGCTACCTGCTAGTGAATTGCTGTGTGACAGTCCCTGTGTTTTCCCCTATATTTTGTGTATTCTTATGTTTTACCCTGGGTGGCGGCCCGCTCGTTAGACGAACGCCATCCAGAGGGAGCATTCACGTATTACTTCCCACCTTTTTCAGTTCCCGAATGGGGACCTCTCCAGTGCCCCTTGGAGTGATCACACCAAGCAATTAGAACGTTGGCAATTTGCAACATAAATGTGAAACTGCAAGGGAAGTAATTGAGTGCTTCCCTTGGTGGCCGCCATTCGTATAGACGGACGGCGGCCAGGGGGAGCATTCGTGTCCTGAACGAGGACGCTTCCCTTGCCTAACATTTAATGTGGATAAGTGCAAGATAATGCATCTTGAAAGTAAAAACCCAAGGGCAGAGTACAGAATATTTGATAGAGTCCTAACCTCAACATCTGAGGAAAGGGATTTAGGGGTAATTATTTCAGATGACTTAAAGGTAGGCAGAAAATGTAATAGAGCAGCAGGAAATGATAGCAGAATGCTTGGTTGTATAAGACAATTCACCGTGACGTCAAAACAATAATAGACATTCTTCCGGGTGGCAAAAGCCAAAGCGTTTACATGGCATGCCCTGGATGTGCCAAGACAGTGACTTAAACAATACAATAAAAAGTATAACCCACATCCTGTGCATGGATGCCTATTTGGTAAGTCACCCCCAGACACTGCCTAGTCTCTGTTAAATGCAGTTGTGCATTTAATACGATCTGTCCACAAGTTAAATTAAAGGTTTCAGAGTTTTAGGTCTCAAAGCCGCAAGGTCTGACCACAGCTTATTCTTGCATAACTGCCAACACTTGGCAAAAATAGGCAGCTTGTTTGGACCTGAGCTGCAATCTAGTAGCACAACTCCCATGACATTCAGCCCACCAATTCAGCTGTGGACACTTCTGATGATCTTGGCCCAGCCTAATGCAAAATAATGAAAATAGTATGGGGCAGTTTTTTCTTCAGGTCAGTGGAAGCCACTTGCGTTCTACCACCCGGAAGTATCTTGGTGCCTGTTGTTTACAAACATGCTGAAATGCCATATAGGGAGAAAGGGAGAAGTGCTCATGCCATTCTACAGAATACTGGTGAGACCTCACTTGGAGCATTGTACGCAGTACTGGAGACCGTATCTCCAGAAGGATATTGATACTTTAGAGAGAGTTCAAAGAAGGACTACTAAACTGGTTCATGTATAGCAGGATAAAATTTACAAGGAAAGGTTAAAGGATCTTAACATGTATAGCTTGGAGGAAAGACGAGACAGGGGGGATATGATGAAACATTTAAATACATAAAGGGAATCAACACAGTAAAGGAGGAGACTATATTTAAAAGAAGAAAAACTACCACAACAAGAGGACATAGTCTTAAATTAGAGGGGCAAAGGTTTAAAAATAATATCAGGAAGTTTAAACTTTACTGAGAGGGTAGTGGATGCATGGAGTAGCCTTCCAGCTGAGGAGGTACAGTTTTACACAGTGAAGGAGTTTAAGAAGCCCAACCTTGACTCTAACTCTCCGTCCAACTTCCGTCCTATCTCACTACTGCCTTTTGCATCCTAGATCCTTGAAAGAGTTGTGTATGCGAAATTGACAGACCCGCTTTAGTCTGGTTTCTGCAAAATCTCGTGGTCACTGCTCTATCCTAATTATCCTTGACCTTTCTGCAGCTTTTGACACTGTTGATCATCAACAGCTTCTTCTCATCCTCCGCAATATCGGTCTGCAAGATATTGCTCTCTCCTGGTGCTCCTCCTACCTCTCCCAGCACTCTCTAAGTGTTTCTTTCTCTGGCTCTGCTTCTTCTCCCTAACTCCTCTCTGTTGGTGTCCGCTAAGGTTCAGTCCTTGGTCTCCTACTGTTCTCCATCTATACTGCCTCCCTTGGTAAAGTCATTAGCTCCTTTGGCTTCCAATATAATTTCTATGCCGATGACACACAAATCTATCTGTCCTCTCCTGATCTCTCTCCGTCCCTCTTGACTAGTGTCTCTGACTGCCTCTCTGCTATTTCTAACTGGATGGCTGCCCACTTCCTTAAACTAAACTTGACCAAAACTGAAATTCTGGTCTTTCCTCCCTCAAGTGTTGCTACTCCTGTGTCTGTCTCCCTCCAAGTCAACGTGCTAATATCAGCTACACCATGAAGGCTAGGTGTTCTCTTTGACTCCGACCTCTCCTTCACGCCTCATGTTCAGTCTGTCGCCAAATCCTGCCGCTTCCATCTCAAAAACATTGCACGCATTCGACCCTACTTAATGCCAGATATGACTAAGGTGCTGGTCCATTCCACTGTCCTTTCTCGCCTTGACTACTATAATCAGCTTCTCAGTGGTCTTACGTGCTCCTAACTTACGTGCTCCTAACTTACGTGCTCCTAACTCACCGTTACAGTCCATAATGAATGCGGCGGCGAGGCTCATTTTCCTGTCCGCCCATGCCTCACCCTTCTGTCAGTGCCTACACTGGCTTCCTGTAAGATATAGGGCTCAATTTAAAATTCTGGTACTTGCTTTCAAATCTCTAAATAATGCTGCTCCCACCTATTTATCCTCCCTAATACACAAGAATTTCCCGTCTAGGCCCTTAGGCTCTGCTGAAGACTTACGTCCGTACTCCCACCTCTGATGCTTGGCTTCAAGACTTCTCGAGGGCTGCACCGTTTCTGTGGAACTCACTTCCCTCCTCCCTCAGTCTCCAATCCTTCAAAAAATCATCAAAAACCCACTTCTTCATAAAAGCATATCAATTAAACTGTTAATAGCTCCCGACTGATTCCTCTCTTGCAACTGTCATTAGTCTAATACTATCCTTATCTTTAGTGTCATTTTACCCCACTCCCTCTAGCATGTAAGCACATTGAGCAAGGCCCTCAACCCCTCTGTCCCTGGGTGTCGAACTTGTCTAGTTACAACTACATGTTTGTTCGTCCACCCACTGTAAAGCGCTGTGGAATTTGTTGGCGCTATATAAATAAATAAATAAAATAAATAACATAATAATAATAATAATAATAATAATAATAATAATAAAAGCATCTGTGGGGTAGGCATAAGGTTATCCTAGATATAAGATAAGACCAGGGACTAATGAAAGTATTTAGAAAATTGGGCAGACTAGATGGGCCGAATGGTTATTATCTGCCGTCACATTCTATGTTTCTATTTGTATGTATATGGGCTGTTATTTTGTATATGTTTTTGAGTAGTTTGTGGTATTGTGTATGGTACCTATGAATGGGAAATTCTTGTGGAATTTGTGTGCGTGTGTTGATATGTCACATAGTGTGTTTGGTGGTGTGTTTGTGTAAAGCTGCTTGTAAGGCAAATATGTGGATTGTCAGTGGTGTTGTGTTTGTGTGTGGTCAATCTGTATTATTTGTATAGGGGGAGGGGCTTTTTCAGCTCTGTGTATATCTAGCAGTGGGGTTGACTTCCCTTGTTGTTTATTAGGGGCCGTGCTTTCCAGGTGCAGGTCAAGGGCAGCTGCAATAGCTGCTGCGGGCTGCTCTACTCCAG